GGGCTCAGGTGATCAAAGGTCAGGGTTCAGGTGATCAAAGGTCAGGGTTCAGGTGATCAAAGGGCATGGCTCAGGTGATCAAAGGGCGGGGCTCAGGTGATCAAAGGGCAGAGCTCATGTGAGTAAAGGGCAGGGCTTAGGTGATCAAAGGGCGGGGCACCCAGCAGAGGAGGAGTAAAGACACTGAGCATCGTTGTTGGAGAACAAAGGACTAGAATTTTTTCGAGGAATGCATATCGCTCGCCAGCTTTTATGCTGACAAACAATAAAGTTTTATCCATTTTGATTGTCAGTTAGCGCTCAAAGTATGTGTTAGGGATTAGTCTCAGCTACCACTACAGCTAATTATAGCTCAAAATCTGCTAAAGTGACTGATGTATGGTGTTTTGATGTTTACAAGATAGTCATCTGTGGCGGCCATCTTGAATGGGATTACCTCTAAAAGTTATTGAGTTGCAGACAAACCTCCAGCAAACTCTTCCTGAGAGTTTTATTAAAATATGTTCAGTGGTTAATGAAATATTTTGCCAACAGAAAGTCTAATGAACACACACATACAACAAGAAATTACATTATCGCCCGCCATTAGGTGGACCTGGACTGAATTTCTTTACCAAACACATGCGAGAAGCTGCTGTGGTCAGAAGAGGCTAAGATTGAACTTTTTATTCGTCCAGGACGACATGAGAACAACATCCACACAGTGAAGTATGGCGGCGGCTGCTTCATGATGTGGGGACGTTTTTAATCAGCAGATACTGGAAATAAAAGAAACAGCTGAAGGAATGATGGATGGAGCAAAACAACAAAAAAATGCTCTGGTTTGTCTTGTGGTACTTTTAGCTTTCATTCTACAACTTGTAGCTTTTAGGCACCTTATGTTACTTAAGCTTCTACCAGGCCTTTCCCTAAATTTGGCCTATAGCTAAAGTTTTGCTGCTATTAGCTAGTATTTTGCTACTTTTCACCTAGGCTTTTACTACTTTTAACTTCTGGCTTCTTGTCGCCTTACTTTTAGCTTTTAACTAGCCTTTTGCTATTTTTAGCTTTCAGCCCACTTTTGCTACTTGTAGCTTTTAGCTAATACCGGTATTTTGCTATTTTTTTGCTTATGTTTAGTATTTTGCTGCTTTTAGCTCCTAGCTACCTTTTTGCCACTGAAGCATATACTTGGCCTTTTGCAAATTTTAGCTTTTAGCTAAACCTTTGCTGCTTTTAGATAGCTTCTTGCTATTTTCGCTAGCCTTTTGCTGCTTTTAGCTAGTGTTTTGATTTTTGCTTATCAGCTCAGTTTTAGCTTATTCAGAACTCATCATTTGTTAGTTGTATAAGTTCCACCAAAAAGTTTCAAAATTCACATTTCTTTCCATCGAGGACAACACCCGCAGAGTGAAGCACGGCGGCAGCTGCTTCATGATGTGGGGATGATTTTTATCAGCAGGGACTTGAAAACTGATCAGAGTTTAAGAAAATATGGAACAAAATACAGAAAAATTATTGAGGAAAACCTGTTTGAGTCTTCCAAAGATCTGAGACTGGGACAATGTCCACCTTCCAGCAGGATGATGACTCTAAACACACAGCCGAAGAACGTTAACTGCTTTAAGGAGGACCAGTTAAAGGTCCCAGAGTGGTCCAATCTAAGGCCAGACCTCAGTCCAACTGAGAATCTCCTCCAAATTATCTGATCTGTCTCGGAGGGAGTTAAAGACGTCAAAGTCACCTTCAATGACTCAAACCACCACCTGTCCTCCAACTTTACGTTGGTTGAGCTAAACGAGCGTCCAGGAACCAACAAGACTCCAGCTGATTGGACCTGAGCCGAGCCGAGGCAGCGGACGGTGGAGATTAAGGGTGCAGTCAGGATCAGAGGTGAAAGAGAAAAGCCACATGTGACAAAGAGCAGAAGAAGCTCACGCACCCCTCAGAGAGCTTCACGGAAACAACGATTCTCTCCACGAAGGCGCCGAACCCTGAAGGACCTCAGCTGCTTCCTCTCCTTTATCCTCCTCAGCAACCTTTCTTTCATGTAGCTTTTTGAAAAGAAAATCTCTCGTTTCAGAGCCGTCCCATCCAGCTGCGGCCTCAGCCTGCGAGTTAATAAGGCCAGTGGCAACGAAACGCTTCCAAGAGGCGCATGAATATTTGAAGACGGGAAAACAAGATGTGGAATAAATGTAGCCTACGTTCCCTCACATCTCAACATCGACCCCCCACGGGGATTTTCAAGAGATTCCCACACTCTAAAAAAAAAACGGGGTCCAAGAAGAACAGCGTGTTTGTTTCATCTATGTTGAACCTTTATCGTCCGTTACCTTGGAAGAAGCTCTTGACGCGGAGGTAGGAGACGGCGAGGCGCAGCACAGACAGCTTGTCCAGTTTGGAGATGACGTCCGGCGGGAACGGCAGCAGGCTGGCCAGCCGGTCCAGCTCCGCGTTCAGCCGGTCCCGGTGCCGCTTGGACGGGTTGCTTTTCTCGTTGGCTGAAGACGGCTTCCTGAGCGTGTGACGACGACAATAAGAAGTCAAACAGTTAGATTTCTTACACCGTTTCAAAGTCTACACATTTCCTGACTCGCTTTTTTTTTTGGTTAAAGTTTTTCGGCTGTTTCTTGTCGGGGTCTGTAAATTGAGCCCAATCTTGATATTAGCGTTGGTATCGTTTTGGTACTCGTGTGCTGGGATCGATACTTCAGTTTGTTTCTCTTCTCTACTTTTACATCTTTGCTCCTCTTCCAGCAGAGCATTGAACAGACAAATAATTAATTAGTTTAATTATTTTGATTTTAGATCACATTTAAGTGGCTTTTAGCTAGTGCTTAACTTCTCTTAGCTAGGGGGTTGCTTCTTTTTACTTGAGTTTTACTTCTACTAGCTAGTATTTAGCTCCATTTGACTAGTATATTGCATTTTTAGCTTCCACGATGCTCCTTGTTTCCTTTAGATTCAATTTAGTTTCTTTTAGCTAGCATTTTGCTTCCGTTTTACTTCTACTAGCTCACATTTAGCTTCTTTTAGCTAGCATTCTGCTTCCGTTTTACTTCTACTAGCTCACATTTAGCTTCTTTTAGCTAGTGTTTTGCTCCTTTACGCCTCCAGTTTGTTCCTGTTAGCTTCCACTTGGCTACTTTTAGCCAATATTTTGATATTTTTAGCCTCTGTTCTGCTCCTTTGAGTTTTTGTTCTGATTGCTTCAACTTGGAACAATCTATTTTAGCTTTTTCACAAATTTCAGCAGTCATTCAGCACGCAGTACGTACGTTGACTTTTCTCAGAAAACACAGGTTTTTGAGTTATATTTTATTTAGTATTACTTGGCAAAAACAATTCTGCGGTGTCGACGGCCGCAGTGAGCCATGCGGCCCACATTAAGCTGTACACAGAAGGAAGTTTGGATCACCAGGACTTGTGTTACAGCTGGAAACTTGGGTCAACCTGAGCAATCAGGGTAGAAGGACCAAGAACCCGCTGGTCCGTCTGACAGCTCTGTGGAGAGAGCAGAACCTTCCAGCAGAACCAGTTTCCCCTCCGGTCAGGCCTGATGGGCGGCAGAGGGGCCCTCTGGCGATCGACCTCAAGGAAGAAGAGGATTAACGGAAGATGAAGATCTAAGAGAACAGCTGGACGTGGTGAAAAGCTCAGAAGGACACCGAGAAGCAGGATTCTTAATGGTTGAACTGTTCCTTTAATGGTAATTTTTAATATAAAACGTGATGTTTTCTGTCAAATTATGTCACAATTTAAAGAAAAATAAAAGTCAATACAGGTTTTATGAGTACTTGACTGATAAATTGCATGGATTTAAGTTTATTTCTTATTTTTAGGAGTACGTCAGAGGTTGGGTCTTTTATAAAAGAACCTGAAAATCACTTTAAATATCTGAGCTTTTAATCTTTTAGATAATCAGATTTGTATTTTTTAGACAAAGTCTGCAAATTAAAATGTTTTTTTTTTTTTTTTTTTTTTTTAGTCTTTGACAACACTTCAAACTAAACTCCAGGCTTTTTCAAGTGTGCGTATGAACTCGCAGAAAATTGCTCCGAGCTAAAATCGAATCAACTTTTTTATCTTTGCTGCTCCAAACGACACTTTCTTAATATCCGAGTCTTTTTATTGAAACTTTAAGGATCCTCGTGCAAACATGCAAACAATCTGTGATTAAAAATCTCAAGCGTGGTCATACATTAGTTTTTAACAACGCATAAACTCATCCGGCACACTCGTATCTGCTTCTAGTAAAAGTGGAAAACAATGTTTAGGTTATTTGTAAAAAATATAAATCCATTTTTTTTACTTATTTGTTTCTTCATGTAACAAACAATTCAGCTTCTTTGATTTTACAAATACAAAAACATAGTTTTGTCACTGCAAAGAATCCTTTACATTAAAATAAACCTGCGTCCGTTTCTTTCGTCTTAAGACCTCCTGATGTCAGGGGCAGAACCCGGACCCTGCAGGGCCGACTCGGGTTTTCATTTGGCGTATCACAGTTTTACTAGTTGAACCCCGCTCATTTGATTTTATGCTCAAAACACAAGAATTATAAATTATTTTAATCTAAACTACCATTAAAAGGCATGAAATGGCAGGAATAATCTAAACTGGCAAATTATTATCAGAATCTCAAAACAATTCTTAATCAAATTGTCCCTTTAAGTAAAAAAACAAATAAATAAAGGTTTAGTGTCACTATATATTCTAGCATCTCTGTTGGGTTTTTCTCATATTAAAGGCAGACGCAAATCATGAAAACTTTATAAACGCCACAGGGCCTTTTTTTAAACTACCACTTCCCTCTTTAATATCTTATATAACTAGTGACAGTTGCTGACAGGATAAGGGAAAACCTTGTTAAAGCCTTAAAATATGCACAGTGGGGAAAAAAAATTAAATACTGTTTGAGCGTGCAAACTTAATTTATCCAACATTAAGTGCAAAACCACCTGACAGGTCATTTATTTGCTATTTTTGACCTGAAACTGCTCACGCTGCCTCATGAAGCAGAGATTTATTTATTCCCACCAGGTTTTAGGTTGATGCACAGAGTCAAGCAGAGCTCCTTAACTGTTTCTGGATGGGTTTCCTCCTTTTTCTGCCCGCGTACATGCAGTCTCCTGGAGGGATCATGGTCTGGAGCTCCTTGGAGGTAACAGGTGCGCTGCTGCAGGGTGTCAGACAGAAACTTTACTGAAACCCAAAAAAGCTTCATTCCTTTCATTTAGCCGCACAAATGTAAACTTTATGACTCCAGCCTGCTCTGGTGGTAATTCAACCAAAATTCAACCAAAAATAAAATTAAAAAGCATTCAATTAAACATATCAAAGCCTTACCCAGAGTAACTGCGGGTTGAATCCAGCCTACAGTTGGCTGCTGAGCCACATGCGCTTCAAATGTGTGAAAGATGCTCCAGCGGTGTTTATTATCCGGTGGGAGAATAAGAGAATGGAGTAAATACAGGGAGAGTGTGGGAGCGCTGATGTTTTCCTCCGCTTTGCTCTGCTCGCTGCAGATGTTGCCTGATTCTTTTTAACCAATTGAGTCGCCTTGACTTCCTCGCGTTTCAGGTGGCGGATTCCTCTGAATGACATGTCGAGCTCTTCGCACGCAACTCGCTGCCTCACAAACACGGCGCGAGCGCACACACACGACACACACGGCCCAAGACAGGCTTATGTTGCTTTACACGGGCTGTGCGTACGTAGGAATTTCAAGATTCATTCTGCCATGACGTTCATTTAAATGAGAAACTTTCGGTTTCATATATTGCTACTTAGAATACAAACTTCACCCACATTCTTATTGAATCATAAACAGGAATAGCTGTGTTGTTCTTTTTTTTTTCTTGTGTGAAATCAATTCGTTTGCGCGTATTTGAGGTGTAGTTGTCAGATTTTCGAGCACAGTTGAAAGCAACACGATGAAAGAGGGAGGAGCCACGGACTCCGGGCCGCATCTGCGCAGATCAGATTAACTGTAGCAGTCTGCGCATTTGTAGCTGACGTGACGGGATGCTCGAGTGTTTTGCGGAAAAGCGGTTTTTCTAAGATGATTTATCTCCGAAAAACTGAGGATACGCGTCGGAACGCGCTTTTTTCAAGCATATTCGTGTTTCAGGAGCAATGCGAGAGGCTTGCAACCAATTTAGATGACGTTTTCAGAAACCGGATAGGTTCTCGTCGGAACTAGCTTGCCTCAAAGTGAGCGATGTTTACTGGAAGTCACGAGTGCGCCTTCAAAATGAAAGCATAGTGCTCTTTCAAAGCGGTTAATTCCGAAATCTTTAAAGAGTATATTGCGATATCCTAGTCTAAGATTTTATTGGGCTTTTAACCAGTCGTTTACAGCTTAACAATGTGCGATAGCTGTCCTCGCACCCTTTTATGAATTTTATGTTGAAATCCACAACCGGAAAAGAAATGATCCGTTAGTCTTGATAATAATGACTAATTTCTCACTGGCCCTTAATTATAAGTTGCTTTTATGCCAAAGTTACAAAAAACTTGTAGAGAACTTAAAAAGGTGACATTTTAAACCGTGTTCTCTGTGTCTTTGAACATACCACTCCATGTTATTTGTTTAGTGACTTGAGTTTTATAATTTTAAGATTGGTTTTAGATAAACAATTTGTTGCTGGGTTTTTTTACTATCACCTTCTAGTGTTCAGTTTGTGTACTACAGTCAAAAATAAACAAGCCTGCATCAAAAGTTATGTTTTTGTTGTAGTGATGTGAATCATACATCACACTAACATTGTTGGGTTTTTTTGCAAATATTTAATATAAACAAATAGAAAAACATGCCACTTTGATGCTTATTTCTCTTAGTTTTGATTGAGATCAGATTTTCATGATGTTGCTCCAAAGCCCATGTGTCTGCACTGTCTCGAGGTTGAGGAAGAAACGGCTGCGTAGCTTTTCTCCCCTGACTGCTCTGATGTCTTCAGGCTCGTTTAGGAGGGGAGATGTTCATTTGTTGTGACCGGTGGAGCTGCAGATCCACAGTTCTTGTTAAGGCTGTCGCTGGCTGCCGTTAACGCGACGGAGCTTTCGGTATCGCTGCAAATCCACGGGCATCTTGATCCAAGCTTAGCCCCGGCTTAAAACCCTGCAGGGCCTTTCCTTTGCACGCAACTGCATCTCTGCGTGCGCTTAGGAGCCTCAAATTCCTTGATATTTTGCTAACAGACGAGCGTTGATTCTAATAGTTGATGTCATAGTTTAAAACCAAGATATTACATCATCTGTTAGTGCTCAGAGTATATGCTTGGGATGACTCCCAGCTACTACCACACCAGAATTGCCTGAGTTAGTGGTTTTGTGTTGGTTAAGGTCCGTTAGCTGCAGTGGCCATCTTGAATTGAGTTAATTTATGTGTTAATCAGCGACTACTTTTTGAGTTTCAGTAAATTCTGCTCAGTCGTTCATGAGATGTTTTGCTGGCGGACAAAAACACGGATCGCGGGCGACAAGCAGTGGTTGGACCTTGGAGTCGAGACTCACCCAGAACCAAGTGGAAGGGTTTCATGGATCCAGTTCTCTGTCAGCGTCACAGTGGGGCTTCAGGAGACATGAGTCTGATTTTTAACATTCAAAGCTGATGAGACGCTCAATATGGGAAGAAAGCAAACATTCGTCTCGCTTATGTCCTTTAGTTTTACAGCCAGATCTTTTCATTAAGTGAAGAGGACGTTTTTTTCCTGCAGAAATATGAACTAAAAACTTCAGATTCTCACACACAAGTCGTAAAAGTAAAAGAAGAAAATCTGACTTAAAACACACAAAAATTATCTGTGGCTACATATACTTTTTAGTGAAAATAAATAGTACTGGTGTTTAATTGTGTTATCCTGTAAACTTAAAATAAGTGAAATCCATAAGCAGATAGAAAACACCGACTGGTACTGAAAAGTAGACTGAATTCTGTACGTTTTGTAAAAGCAAAAACAATAAAGTTGTTTCTAAGGCATCAGAACTGTGAAAGTTAAACAATAGAAAGGCTGGATTTACTAATCTAAAAGAAAAATACCTTAAAAAGTTCGGATCTGTTGAAGTGCGGCTCTATAAAAGACTGTAAACAATATCTTACCTGTTGTAGATAACGACTATATTTGACATGATTAACAAGCTACTCCTAATAAATTTAATTTCATAAACTAAAACCTCCATCAGTTTCACATTACACAATTATTCATGCAGAAATGTGTTACATGTGCTACAGCCATACAATTTTCATGTAAATAACAGTGTAATGAAAAATTAAAGTGTACATTTTTAAAATAGAGTGCACATGAACTGCTCTTAATTTTTTTTTTTTTTTAGAATGTAATGTTTTTAAGACAGCAGGCTAGACCAGACCCACTCAGACGAACTGTTGATAGGACTAGCTGTAAACTCAAGACTAGCCGTTAGTTAGGACTAACTGTTAGGTTATCTAAAACTAGCTGTTAACTAAAACAAACCAATATCGCCAACTAGTCATTAGACAAAATTAGTTTTTAGCTCATAAAACCCATTAGCTTAGATTAGCTTTTAGCTAAAACTAGCAATTAGCTCAGACTAGCTATTAGCTAATACTAGTCCATAAACTCAGTCTAGTTGTTAGCTTAAATTAGCCTTTAGTTAAGACTAACTATTAGCTCAAACTATCAATTGAATGAGATTCCATATTAGCTAAGAAAAGCTGATAGCTAAGACTGACCTTTAGCTAAGACTAGCTGTAAACATATTAGCCATTAGCTAAGAAAAGCCATTAGTTAGGACTATCTGTTAGCTTAGATTGCTGTAGCTGTTAGCTAAAATTTGTTATTGGCTCAACCTAGCCATTAGCTTATATTAGCTCTAGCTAAGACTGTTAGTTCAGACTAGCCAGTAGCTCAGACTAGACATTAACTAAAATTAGTTATTAGCACTAGCCATTAGCTTAGATTAGCTTTTAGCTAAGACTAAATGTTAGTTCATATTAGTTGTTTCCTAAAATTAGCCGTATAAATCAGACTAGCCATTAACTAAGACTGTTAGTTTAAATTAGTCAGTAGCTCAGACTAGCCATTAACTAAAATTACTGGTAGTCATTAGCTCAAACCAACCATTAGCTCAGCTTAACTATCACTAAATGTTAACTCAGAACAACCGTTAGCTCATATTGGCTATTAGCTACGACTAATTGTTAGCTCAAGCTAGCCGTTAGTGTACTCAAACTTTCCTCTAACAGATATTTATTGTTCATAACCTTTCCACAGAAGTCCACTTCAAAAGATTTAAACCTCTTTTTTAAGAAACATGTTAGGACTTTTAGAACCTGCACCGAACACGCAGCAGACACGCCTGTAAGCATGAAAACTGAAAAAATCTTGCAGTTTTCAGCTGAAGAGGAGTGGACCAATCCAGTGTGCCAAACCTTAAGAACCAAAACTTAGTCTGAGCTTCTATTTGGGGACAATAAGCGGATCTTCTTTGAGCTCATAAAACCTCAAATCTTAAATTCAGGACAAACGTAAACAAACACTGAACCTACTGAAAACTTGCTGCCTAAAGAGAACTGAAACTTTATTCTTCTTTCCGTTCTGCGTGAGTTTGGTTTAGCCCAAAGTGGGGTCAATAATGAGTGATTTAATTGTTCTGAAGCAGCCAAACAACCCAAACATGTCCGAACTGATCCCCTGTTGGTCCGTCAGTAATTATATCTGCTTTAACTCTGGAGCAGTTTGGGAGCTGAGGGGGATAATCTACTGTTGACGTTGGGATTTGGGTTTTTTCGGGGGTCATTTTGTGGTCAGGCTAAAAGGACAAATAGAGATTGCTCCTTCCTTTCTGTTTTTTTGTCAATCTGTTTGTAATCTGCTTATTGTGCTTTTACCTCATTGTGCCTTTATGTATAAAAAGTTTAAAAAGATCAGAAGTGATTCAGCAGACGAGACGATTGAAATATCGCACGCCACCATACTTTTAAACTAAGATTGTTTTATGATGAGATCTGTAGCCATTTTGGTCAAATATTGAAAATAACATGTTTTGCTCAGAGTGTGTGTTGTTAGAGACTCTCGGCTACTACCACCCCAGATTTGATCTCAATATTCATAGAACTGATTGAGTTTCAGTTGTTTTTATGTCAGCTAAGATTTATTAGCTGTAGCGGCCATCATGAATCAGGTTAACGCCTAAAAGGAGTATGTGTTTAGCTACTACCACACCAAATTCGAGTTAAATATCCATGAGTTGTTGTAATTTTTGTGTCGTTTTCACTGGACATGTTTGGACATGCACATGGACAGCGGACATGTTGGACAAAGGATGCTATGAAGGGACAGCGAAGTAACAGGAAGAAGGGCGTTGCGTGCCTGGCGAGCGCAAGGTCTGGTTGCTCAGATCAAACGATGGTATTTGGGTGTTCACATAAATAAAAACTTTTTTTTGTAAACTGATTAGCCAAAAACCATTGTACATTTGGGATTTTTAAAACTATTTATTGTATATTGTATAAACCCTAAAACTATTGTAGAAATGCAATTATTGTGCGTTTAGCAACCCTGCATGTTAGCTTGTACAAGCTTCAAGCCCCGCCCCTCTGTTTAAATAACGGGACATTTTCCTGACCAAAATCAAAAACACATTCCAGATGTTGTTGTTTTTTTTATTGGTTCAAATAGCTCCTACTTTGCTGCTGTTTGTTCAAATGTGCATTTTATGAAGTTTTATTTTGTTAAAGGAAAAAAGTCAAGTTATGCTGTGATTGACAGCTTGTCAGAGCATATGGAGGGTGTGTGGGCGGGGCTTCCTTGAGAAGGGGATGACCTCACATTTCTAGTGCACAGACTCTGGTTCCAAAAATACAACTCGCCAGCTCTGCCCCAAAAAAAACAAAACCAAAAAAAGACTGGTTTTAATTTTGAAGGTGAAGACGTCTTTATTCATGTGTTCACGTGCTTCTGAACCGAACGGCTGACATTTTCAAGATTTTTCTTCAGTTTTGAACTTTCGGAAAACAGTTTTAGAAACGTTCCTGCTCAGACCAAATTAAAAAAGCCAACAGCTAGTCTGTGCCATCTTGGAAACGCCAGAACAATTCCCTAAAAACTACGACAACAAAATGGCGTGTTTGAAATACTTTTTGGGCCCGACAGGCAGAGTCCTCGTAGAGTTTAATGAAAAGCAGGACAGCCCAGCTTTGAGATCCATTTGGAATAAATTACCATTTCTGTGGCATGCAGTGACTCATTCTGCCTTCTCCTAATTGTTTTCATGCTCGTACGGTTTGGATTAGATTGAATAACATGGAATAATATTGTTTGTAGCTGTCAGGACAGTAGTCATGTGGTTGGAAACACCAGATGAGGATTTTGGCTGTTTTCTGTCAACAAACTGGTTTGAATTGTTTAAAATGGTTCAACTTTAAAAAAAAAAAAAGACTTTTTAATCGCCTTTGTCATGAAAGGCAGGTGATAATGTCTGTATCGCTTTGTCTTGGTGTGCATATTAATTTAGATTTTTACAGATGAGCTGTAATTTGTCGTGGTAGTAACTGAGACTGATCTAATTTGTAACAAAACACGTCATTTTCAGGATGTGACCAAAAGGGCTAGTCATTTTTGTTATTTAAATAGTATAAAATCTTCCTAATATACATTTAAATCAAAGTTTTCTAACTTAAAATGTCTTCAGAAATAATCTTTTGAAATTGATCCGTTATTCTCTGCCGACTGCCGTAGTACTGGGAAATCCCTTTGTATAATGTTGGGCCTTATTGTGAAGTTTTGGAATCCCCTTTTTTAATTGTGCGGCTGTAATTCCGGATGACGTCACTTCAGAACCCAAAAGTCGAGTTTTCAAACTTTGGCCAGGCGATAAATCGCTACATTTCAACAAATTAGAAGCTTTTCAGACTAAATATTTAAAAATAAACTCCTCATTGTGACTTATTTACCAAGCACAGGTGTCATAATACTTATAAAAATTATAAAATACAATAAAATAAGAAAAATGAAAGGCAGCAGTTGATCATTCAGTGAATGTTCGGCCTTTTAATTCTTACCATACACAACATATAATTTATGTAAAACAAATTTGACATGTTTGACACTTTATTTTGAATTTGTGTCATTTGTTTTGTAAAACTTGAAGCATGCTGTCCGTCTTAATTTTTGTCCCCACATCTTGTATCGCTTTGCGCAGCTAAAGCACAAGTGTCCTAATGAAAATTCTCGTCTCGTGGTATGACTGATGAGGTCAGGGGGTCAGGGGGTCAGGGGGAGTGGCTCCAGCAGCTGAAAGAATGAAGGAGAACTGAAGGGACCAGAGAGACCAGGAGCTGCAACAACATCCTCCAGTTCATAACTCACTGAATCGTTGGGAGTTCACTGCCCTCTTCTGGAAGGTTTACAGTCCACAGGAGAGGTTTTCAAGAGAAGTGATGCCTTCAGGTACAATCATTAAAACAGGCCAGGTTGAATAAGAAGCAACTATTCTTCGGGTATTTGTTTGGTTCCATTTGAGGACGATGGAAACAGTTAAATGCCAAACCAAGCTGTTAAGGACTATCCTGTCCCCAAAGAACCAAAACCAGACATGTGTCCACATCCTGGGTTCATTCCCAGTGTAGGATAGACTCCAGCTTTCTCCGATCCAGTTTGTGGTGTTCGTGGACAGGATCCTAAGGAGTTGTTTGGTGACCTTGGGGTCTTTTTGGTTGACAATGTTCTGGCGGTGCCTTGAAACTGTGGTGTCAGTGTAAATCGACGAGGTTCACAGCCTGGATGAGAGTCGGCTCCTCTAAGCCCGAGGTCGTAGTGCTCAACTGGAAAAAGACGGACCACCACCTCTGGGTTCAGGGTGAGTCTTTGCCACAAGCGGAGGAGTTCAAGTCCCTGGAGTAAGATCCTGAGTCATGGTTGGACAGAGGTTGGGGTCAACGGATTGTCTGCAATGGTGGTGTTGGGTGTGGATTAAGAGAGACGTCTGGGTTTCCCAACTACGCCTGTTGCCTTCACGACCCAATGGACGAATCGACTGATGCATCGAAGGATGAACTGATAGACAAATTGCATCAATAAATGGATGGATGTCTAGATCAAACAATGGATGGGGGATGAATTGATGGATGGATGAACAATGGATAAATTCATCAATCAATCAGTCCAATGAATAGATTGAGGGATAAACTGCATGAATAAATGGATGGATGAATCAACCAATGGATGAATGGATGGATGAACAATGTATGGATCAATCAATCAGTCAATAGATAGACTGCGGGATGAACTGAAGGACAGGTTAATGAGGTCAATATTTCTAGACTCCATTTGAACAATGGTGAAATCACCGAAGTCCAGCGTTAAAAAAAAAAAAAGGCTTTCCAACAACTCTTCATTACATTATCAATGTCTGCTTACCTCAAACCATCAAGATGTTAAACAGCAAGAAAACAATAATTAATGTTTGATAAAAAATGCTTTTTTTATTCAGTGGAGAACATACTTTGTTTAAATTATCTGCGTACAAAAAGATTTGTTATTCTAGTACATAAAAACTACCGATAAAAACCGTCCAGAGACTAAAAAAATAATGTCTCCAACGTCTCTGCACTTCCTCTCCTCGCATCAGTGCATCTTAATCACAATTCTTCCCTTTAAATCTTAGTCACAGTCTTGCAGGTTAATATTTGGTTTATTTTTACATTGATCAGCCATAACATTATGACCGCTGATGTAAACATTCTGTCCAGGATGTAAAAGGTGGTGAAAAGGCAGGAAGATTTGGCTAAAGTTAGACGTAACGATTCGTTGTTGATTTAAAAAAAACATAATGTTATGGCTGACCAACAAATCTCATTTTATACACATAACATGATTTAATTTGTCTTAACTTGACACTTTTATAAAATGTTTGTTTGATCTCACATTTTCACAGAAAAGAAACTAAACTAAATCCATCAGCAGCTCTGTGGTGTCTTCTGTAAATCAGTGAAGGTTCAGTTTTGGACGCCACAGGGTCAAGAACAGTTTGGTCCCAAAGGATCCTAGAAAGGTCCTCTTCTACTAATACTTCTCATCTGGACCCTGGCGTTCAGGAGCCTCCTGATTAAAGTGTACCTCGAACATCCGTACCTTTGGTCGTGTACTTCCTGTTGAGCTACCTTCTATTGGACGAACGGACCTGATGTCTTGTCCACGTTGTTGGAGCTGATGAAGAAAGGTGAAGAGAAACATGAGGATGGCTTTTTCCCTCAGTGGAGAGCAGATTTTGAGTTTTGCTCTTACACTGAGGTTGTCTTGGGTTGCTGGCGCTGCTGCCAAAGGAGGACTGGAAGTTGTGGATGGTCTCTTGAAGGATCTGCCGTTCCCGACCCTGGTGACAACCAACTGATGTCACTCTGATTTGCTACCTTAAAATCTGGAATCTAACACAACTTTTTGGGGCGAGTTTGTATTTGTCAATGCCCTAAAGTAACTAATACGTTGTAAAGCTGCTGGGAAATTTCCCCACACTGATATCTTCTATACTTTTAGCTAGACTTTTGCTAAATCCTTTTAGCTTATAGTAACCTTTAGCTATTTTTATTTTCTGCTAAACCTTTGTTACTTTTAGCTAGCCTGAAGCTACTTTTAGCTTAATAGTTATTTTTAGCTAATTTTTTTCTACTTTTGACTTTTACCTAAGTGTGTGCTACTTCCAGCTTTTTACCCAGCCTTTTGCTGCTTTTAGCTGACCTTTCAATACATTTAGCTAGTTGGTCTTTCTTTTGCTATTTTTGCAGGTATCTATCCTTTTGGTACTTTAAAGCTTTCAGCTAACCTTCTATACTTTTAACCAGCATTTGCTGGAATTTTGCTACTTTTAGCTTTAACTAGCCTTTTGCTACTTTTAACTAGCCTTTGGAAACGTATCGATAGCCTTTTGCCACTTTTAGCTTTAACTAGTATTTAGCTACTTTTAACTATCCTTTGGAAACTTTTCAATAGCCTTTTGCTACTTTTAGCTTTAACTAGCATTTAGCTACTTTTAACTAGCCTTTCAAAACTTATCAATAGCCTTTTGCTACTTTTAGCTTTAGCTACCATTCAGCTACTTTTAACTAGCCTTTGGAAATGTATTGATAACCTTTTGACACTTTTAGCTTTAGCTAGTATTTAGCTACTTTGAACTAGCCTTTGGAAATGTATTGATAACCTTTTGACACTTTTAGCTTTAGCTAGTATTTAGCTACTTTGAACTAGCCTTTGGAAACTTTTCAAATGCCTTTTGGTACTTTTAGCTTTAACTAGCATTTAGCTACTTTTAACTAACCTTTGGAAACTTTTAGATCGTCTTTTGCTACTTTTAGCTTTAGCTAGCATTTAGCTACTTTTAACTAGCCTTTGGAAACTTTTCAAATGCCTTTTGGTACTTTTAGCTTTAACTAGCATTTAGCTACTTTGAACTAGCCTTTGGAAACTTTTCAAATGCCTTTTGGTACTTTTAGCTTTAACTTGCATTTAGCTAGTTTTAACTAGCCTTTGGAAACTTTTAGATCGTCTTTTGCTACTTTTAGCTTTAACTAGCATTTAGCTACTTTTAACTAGCCTTTTTAAACTTATGTTGTCGAGCTGCCGGGAAATATCCACACACCATGCTGCTGTCACCACCGTGCTTCGCTGTGACAGGATGAGACGATGAACCATTGGTCTTGTTCTTAAAAGCCAAAAGGCTTAATTTTGGTCTCATGCGAATGCAAGAGAAGAATCTGAGAAGTCTTCTTACAAAATTAGACATCCATAGATCCATTCAATATGGCCACACAAAACACAACTGCATGTATTTTATCACAATTTTGAGTCACCGGCCGGTCTCCCTACAGTCAGCAAATGGATCAACAACAAGTTAAGCACAAATAAGTTTAAAGGACACCCCAGGAAATCATAAAGAGTTAACCCAAATGTACCTTCCCAGCATTGAGCTCTGATATGGCCGCCAAGATCTGTTGTCTGGGCCCGTCGGTTTTAATCCCCAGCTCCTTCAGGTCTCCGTCCGTTAGCGTCAGGAAGGCTTCCATGTCCACCTGAAGAGGAGAAACAGGCACAAAACAAGACTTACGGTAAAAACACCTTCAAGCAAAAAGAATAAACGAGAAATAGATTTTTGTCCTTTTAAAAGACAGGATACCTCCTGTTCCTCAAATATTGGCTGATATTTCTCAAGGGAGAGTTTTTTCAAAATACTGGACAGCTCATCTGAAAAAGAAAACCAACGGTGAGAAGACATGAAGAACAGGTTTTAATGAAACTCTTGGACATAATTCAAGATGGCCGCCACAGCCTTTACGAAACAGAAACAATGGTTTTAACTCAGGCTAAAATTCATAGCAGCAGAGAGCTGTATCATCCCAAACCTTCAGCTCTGACAGTAGACGACTGGACTGACCTTCATCTGTGATGGTCCCGCTGCTGGAGCCCCCGCTGCTCCTGGAGCGTGGCTGGGAAGAGGCCGAGGACACAGAGTCCCCCGGTCCAGGGGGGATCTTTGGTGTCGGGGATGGAGACGGGGTCAGAGTGGGTGACGTGCTCTTGGAGGTGGAGGAAGTCCCAGACTGAGATCTCTTCTTCAGCGCCATCATCTACAGAGGTGGACACACGAGGACAGAGCAGCTTTAGGTGGAAACAGTTAGCGTCTTCTGCTAACTGCTGGCAAGATGGACGACTGCTGAAATCTGAACAAAAGCTAATAACTGCTAAGCTAAAATCTACAATTATCAGAAGCTAAAAGTAGAACCTACAGAACAGTATCTAAAAGCCAAAACTAGCAGAACAGTAGCTAAAAGCTAAAGTTATGAGAACCGTAGCTAAAGGCTAAAATTAGCAGGGAGTAGCTACAAGCTAAAATGACGAGAACTGTCACTCAAAGTTAGAATTAGAAAAAAACTGTTAAACTAATGTGAGCAGAGTAGCTAAAACAAGATGACTGTAGCTAAAAGCTAAAATGACTAGATCTGTGGTTAAAAGCTAAATTAAGCAAAACAGTTTCTTAAAGCTACATCAGCAGGACAGCAGCTAAAATAAAAAAATTATAAAACAGTAGCGAACACTAAACTTGGTAACACAGCAGCTAAAAGCAGAATGGTAGCCTAAAGGGACAAACATAGCAAAAAGCTAAAATCAGCAGGACAGTAAATAAAGATAAAACTAGCCAGTCAATGGCTAAATGCTAAAACCAACACAACAGTAACTTAAAGCTATATTTTGTAAAACTGTATGTAAAAGCTAAAACCAGCAGAATTGTAGCTAAAATCTATAACCAGTAAGGCCTAAAGTGCAGCTGAAAGCTAAAGTCATCAGAACAGTAGCTAAAAGCTAAAATTAGCTTAACAGAACTTGTAGGAGGCATACTGAATAAATTGTTAAAATGCAGTTTTAGTTTTTTTAAGGATCTGAAAAGTGTTCAATGCATTTTTATCAGGAAATAATGTAAATAAATATAAATCTGTCAAGTATAAAAATAACCAGTACCGAAAGTCAAAGCTGCAATGTCCTACACGAGCTGAATGTTTTGATACCTGAATAGCTAAAATACACTGAAGTCCAACAACCCTACAAACAGGAAAACAGCCGAACGCTGACTCAGTTTTTTTAGAGGAAACAAGAAACGAACCCTTCTTGGGTGGACCTCGGAGGACACCAGGCTGGGGTGGGGCGGGATGTCCGGCAGGCTGATGTCAGGAGGCTGCGGACCGAGTCCCGGAGCTGGCAGTGGAGCCGGGTTCTGCTGTTTGTCTGCAGGTAGAGCCTTCACCTCCATCAGGCCCGCTGCTCTTTTACGTTGAGCCGCTATCTGGGACAGAACGCTGTCTGCGCTGCCCCCTGGTGGACGAAACGGTCGCGTTACTTCGTGCAATTTTTAAAAATATCTTTTTGCTTTCGAGTCTTCGTGCGGACCTGAGCGGTTGAGCCCGGCGACTCCGTTTGAGCCACCGGAGGAGTGGGGGGAGTGGTAGTGACCAGAGTTGGAGGGTGAGGATGAGGAGGGTCCTTTGGAGATGCTGGGGAACTTAATGGACCGGTTGACCACACGAGTGATGGACGTCTTCAATGAAGGACAGTAGAATTTAAAACAACGAGGAGAAAATAAAACACACGTAACATTTCCTCACAGACACTCACGATGTCCGAGTTCCTGCTGCTGTTGAGCTTCCTCTGAGGCGGCATGGGCAGGCGGGGCGGCTCGCTCTTCCCCTCTCGGGGGAAAAGTGAGCGGTCCGAGTTCCACGGAGGTAAGAAGGGAGGGATCACCGCTTTCAGCTCGTCTTTAGGAAGCCGGGTGAGCGGCGCGCCGCTTCGTAGCTTTAGAAGTAAACCCATGAGATGAGCATCAGTGATAACAAACACATTCTGAGTCAGCTGATGTTTCCCTGTTTTTATAAAGATTGTTTTTATTTTACAACCTAACTACTGCAGGCTTTAGCTGTTCAAAATGTTCAGCTCATTCAGATGGATGCTACGGCTATTGTTTTTTGTAACTTTAATATTTTTACAATTTAATTTTGAAAGAAAAAGGACAATTTTGCTACGTATAGCTAGCGTTTCAATACTTTTAGCTAGACTTTTGCTACTTTCAGTTAGCCTGTTGCTAATTTTAGCTTATAGTAACCTTTAGCTACCCTTTAGCTACTTTTCATTTACTGCCAAACTTTCGCAACATTTTACAATACTTTTGCTACTTTTAGTATATAGCTACTTTTACCTACATTTTATTTCTAGCTAAGCTTTTGATACTTTAGCTACTCTTCTGCTACTTTTAGTTTCTAGTAAGCTTTGTGCAGCATTTAGCTGGCCTTTTGCTACCTCTAGCTTTGTCCAGGCTTATTTTAGCTAGTCTTTTGATACTTTTAACTTTTCGTCAGCCTTTTCTACTTTTAGTTTCTGGCCAGCTTTCAAACATTTTGCTGGATTATTTCCACTTTTAGCTATCCTGTTGCTATTTTTAGCTTGAAATTGCTTTTAGCTACTTTTTCTACTTTTGACTTAGATAAGCATTTGCTACTTCCAGCTTTTACCCAGGCTTTTGCTTTTATTAGCTAACCTTTCAATACCTGTAGCTAGTAAGTCTTTTGCTACTTGTAACAGGTATCGAGCCTTTTTGTACTTGAAGCTTTCAGCTAACCTTCTGTACTTTTAACTTGCATTTGCCGGCCTTTTGCTACTTTAGCTTTAAATAGCATTTTGCTACTTTTAACTAGCCCTTTTAAACTTTTAGATAGCCTTTTGCTTTTTTTTAGCTTTAGCTAGCCTTTTGCTATGTTTAGCTAGCCTTTTGAAAATTTTTAATAGCCTTTTGCTAGATTTAGCATCAACTAGCCTTTTGATGTTTAGATAGCCTTTTGCTACTTTTAGCTTTAACTAGCCTTTTGCTAATTTTAACTAGCCTTTTGACTTTTAGATAGCCTTTTGCTACTTATAGCTTTAACTAGCCTTGTGCTACTTTTAACTAGCCTTTTGAAACTTTTCAATAGCCTTTTGCTAGATTTAGCTTTAACTAGCCTTTTGAAACTTTTCAAAAGCCTTTTGCTACTTTTATCTTTAACTAGCATTTTTGCTATTTTTAACTAGCCCTTTGAAACTTTCAGAAATCCTTTTGCTAGATTTAGCTTTAACTAGCATTTTGCTACTTTTAACTAGCCTCTTGAAATGTTTAGACAGCCTTTTGCTACTTTTAGCTCTAGCTAACCTTTTACTACTTTTTAGCTGCTCTTTTGATCCAAACTCTCTTACCATGGTTGTTATGAAAACGTCGTCCTTCTCTGAAGACGTTCTGCATTGACCTGTTGAAGGAAAATGTTTTTTTTTACCCATCGCCTCATCTGCGCGCAGCTTCGTACACAAAACAAGTGTTCTATTCCCCGTTTTTCTCAGCTGGATGTCAACACGAACTGCTCACCGGTATCTTTAGTCTTGACCGCCCAAACGGTGCTCGTATCGTTCACTCCCGGGGCAGAAGTCGGTGTCGCTGCCTCGTTAGCCACAGCAGCCACCGCCTTGTTAGCCGCAGCCTTGGAATCCGCCCTCATCGTGACGTCCAGAGGAGTTTCAGCATCGTCGGGAAACTGAGCGAGCCGATTGGTTGAAAGGCTGTGCCGCAGGGTGTGAGTCAGCTTCAGCCGCCGGAAGCGATTTGACATCCTGCTCCACCAGGACTGAAAGATCCAACAAGAACTGGGTCACCAGTTTTACCACGAGGATGTAAAGAACACCAACACCAGAAAGTAGCTAAAGAAATTATCTTTTGCTGCAAAATGCAGCAGGAAGACTGAGTGCTGAATGACTGCTGATGTTTGTTGTAAAAGCTCAAACGAAGTTATCAAAATTAAAAGAAACGGCTAATAACAGCTAAATTTGAACTAGCACAATAGTAGCTAAAATCTAAAATTAGCACAACAGTAAGTTGCTAGTCATCTAAATAGTCGTTTAAATCTGAAACCAGCAAAAACGAAGTGCTACAATTAGTGGAGCTACATCTGACCATAAACTTGCAGAACAGTAGCTAAAAGTGGCCAGTGGCCAGTGGCCAGTGGCCAGTGGCCCTCACCCCGATAGTCGCTAAATGCTTCGAAAAACTGGTCATGACTCACATCAAAACAACCATCAACATCAACGAGGACCCTCATCAGTACGCATACCGTGAGAACCGATCAACAGAGGATGCAATCTCCTCTGTGGTCCACACTGCACTCAACCACCTGGAGCAGAAAAACTCTTACGTCCGTATGCTCTTTGTGGACTTCACATCCGCCTTCAACACCATGATCCCCCAAACCCTGATGGACAAACTATCCACACTAGGACTAAGCCCCTCCATCTGCAACTGGGTACTAGACTTTTTAACAAACAGACCACAGTTAGTGAGGATCCACAACCTCTCCTCCTCCACCATAACCATCAGCACTGGCTCTCCTCAGGGATGTGTGTTGAGCCCCCTCCTGTTTACTCTGCTCACATATGATTGTGCAGCTACCCATCCAGGCTGTCACATTGTAAAGTTTGCAGATGATACAGCGGTGGTGGGATGCATCACAAACAATGATGAGTCCAGCTACAGGCAGGAGGTGGAACACCTGGAGAGCTGGTGCAGAGAGAATAACCTTCACATCAATGTGAAGAAGACAAAGGAGATGATTGTGGACTTCAGAAGGAACAAAAACACCTACACCCCCCTGAACATAAGAGGATCTGCGGTGGAAGTGGTCTCCAGCTACAAGTACTTGGGTGTACACATGAATGACAACCTCAGCTGGAGCAACAACACCACCAGCCTGATCAAGAAAGCTCATCAGAGACTCTACTTCCTCAGACGGCTGAGGCGAGCTGGTCTGGGAAGCTCAGTCCTCACCTCCTTCTACAGGTGTGCAGTGGAGAGCATCCTGTGCTCGAGCATCAATGTGTGGCATGGAGGCTGCACAGCTGCAGAAAGAAAAGCTTTGCAGAGAGTGGTGAAGGCTGCACAGAAATCTGTCGGAATCAGTCTCCCCACCATCACAGACATCTACACCTCCAGATGCAGGAAGAGGGCCACCTGCATCATGAAGGACCCCACCCACCCAGCACACACACTTTTTGCCCCACTCCCCTCAGGAAGGAGGTTAAGGAGCATTAAGTGTAGAACCACTAGACTGAGGAACAGCTTCTACCCTGAGGCTGTTAGACTCATGAATCTCTAACTAGAATAATCACTGTGAAAAACCATATCATGTTGCTGCTGATCTGTTTCATGTTGCTGCTGATCTGTTTCAATGTTGATGTGTTCATGCGTGCACATCTGCTCACAGACTCATGTTCATGTTTGTGGTGATGTTCAATGTTTTATGTTATGAGTGCTTAGTGTATATTTAGTTGATGTTTTTCTTAGTTCATATCTTAGATGTTATTACTGTTTTTCTTATACATTTTATTGTTGGATGTAACTGGGACCCTGCGTACATAATTTCGCTCCACCACATGTACCACATGAGGTGCGAATGACAATAAAGAAACTCTGACTCTGACTCTGACTCTGACTAAAAGCAAATACAGTATTAGCACAACAGTAGCTAAAATGTAAAAAAAAAAATCTAAATGATTGCTGAAAGCTAAACTTAGCATATTAACACCTAAAAGTTAAACTTAACAGAATTTAGACCTAACTAAAATCTAATTATAGCAAAACAGAAGCTTATATCTCGTGTGATAAAAATTGGAAATAAAAGCTCAAATATAAAGCTAGGCCAAAAACCATAGCTAAAGGCTAAACCCATCAAAACAATAGTTTAAAGCCTAAACCAACAAAACAGTAGCTGAAACCTAGAATGAGCACAACAGTCACTAAAAACTACACTTAGTACAACGGTAGATAAAAGTTACAATTAGCATAAGCTAAAAAAAACACAACAGCAATTAATATAAAATACAGTAAGTACAGCAAGAGCTAAAAGTTAAACTTAGCACAATAGTAGCTACTATCTAAACTTAACTAAATGTCAATATTAGCACAACAGTAGCCTAACTTTTAAATGATCAAAACTGTAAAAGAAAGCTAAAATGTACAAAACCACAGCTAAAAGCAAAATCCATCAAAATGGTAGTTTAAAGCTAAAACCAGCAAAATAGTAGCTAGAACCTAAACTTTTTAAACTGTTGCTAAATATAAAATTAGCAGAACTGTACCTAAAAGTTAACCTTAGTACAACAGTAGCTAAAAGAAAAAAAAAAATGAACACAGTAATAGCTAAAAGCAACTCAGCTCAACCCAAGCTAAAAGCTAAAATTAGCCAAAAAATGTAAATTCTCATTTCATTCAACAACAAAAAAAAACTTACAAAATAAAATCAAATATTAAAAAAAATATATATAAAAATGACAAAGTCTCCTGTATGAGCCGAATAGTTTAATTAGCTGAAAGTGAGCTGATGCAGTTAATGCTATAAAACGTACATAAAAACAAACAGGATGACAAAAGATGAATACTTTAACAGGAGCTTTGTTACCTTCAGGCCTCCCCTGTCATCGGGCGGAACCGGGACGTTGTTGAGAGACTGTCTGCTTTTAGAGCGCGTAATGAAAGCTCTGCCCCGGTGTTTGGGCTTATCTTTGTCTACCTGCATGCACACCGACGCTAACAGACGAACCAGCTCTGTGTCTGACAAAAACAACAAGCAGGAAACAAAACGGTAATCAGAGAAACATCGATTTTATAAACGTTTTAAAAAACTAACAGGACGTGTAGCTTTACTGTTATAACTGGAAAAGGAGGACCACGTTCAAGTTTAAGTGTTTTCCTGCTTGAAAGAGCTACCTGGGTCACTGAGCAGCATAACCAGATCAAAGGCTGTGTAGCCGTTCTTAGCTCGAAGGTTGACGTCGGCTCCTTGACTCAACAGGTACTTCACAATGTCTTTATTACTGGGAGACGACAAGCAGAGGACAGGAAGACAAACGATAGAAAACAAAGAGTCGTATTCACAGTAATAAACTCATAAGTTAATCAGGTATATAGTTTCCTGCCATGGCGTATACAAAAAAAAGGTTATAACGGTCACTTTTAGACATATTCGTGTATCGGTACGGTAACTCGGAAGAATCCGCAACACTTACTGAATGCTAATCCAAACTCCAAGATGGCCACCAAAGCTAATTAGGAAGAATGGCTATAACTCAACTATTTTTAGACAAACTGAGCTAAACCTTGGTACCGAAGGCTGAGAGTGATCCCCAACACTTACTGGACGCTAACCAAAAACAGAAGCTAACTAATATTAGCTAATTTAGGAAACAGCTATAACTTTATTTTTAAACAAACCGAGCTAATATTAGGAATGTAGCTGATTAGGTGAGAGTGATCCCCAACAAACACTGAATGCTAATCTAAAACGGGAGCTAGCTGATATTAGCCTATAACTTTGTTATTTTTAAACAAATTGAGCTCATATTAAGTGTAGTTGTAGCTAAGATAGCCATCACACTGAATGCTAATCAAAAACAGAAGCCTCTGTCAATTTTAGGTCTACTGAGCTAATTTTGTGTGGTAGTAGCTAAAAGCTATCCCCAAATTGTCCTGAGTCAAGTTGACTCGAGATGAAAAATATCACGCACCAAGTGGCTCCTTCAAAGTTTCTCCAGGAACTTCTCTAGTTTAATGTATTATTTATGTAAACAATAAACCAGCAGCTCTGACTGACCCGTGGTACGTGGCCTGCATCAGAGCCGTCCACCCGTGGACGCCGTCCTGTTTGTCCACGTCAGCGTTCGTCTCCACCATCAGCTGCACCACCTCCAGCTGCCCGCTCACCGCCGCCATCATCAGAGGCGTCGCTCCCTCCTGATTGGACGAGTTCACCTGAGCGGGGTCCTCCTCCAGGATGTCTTTGACCAACTGGGAGTTTCCTGAGTGCCGTGGGAACACGTGGACACATGTGGACACTGGCAGGGCCCTGTTCCTCACAGGTACGACTCACCTGGGTTTAATGAGAAACTCACCAAGTCTGAGGGCGCTGAACACGTCGGGCCTTTTCCTCTCGTCGTCTGGGGAGAAACAAGAGATAAATACTCTAAAGAACGCAGGACAGGGTGTTAATTCAAGATGGCTGCCACAGCTAAGTGACTTTCCTCGACATTAAAATGGCTAAATGTCAGTATGCACTACCGGTCTGAGGTCTGACGGTGGTTATGGAGTCCAGGAACCCCTTGATGTCTCTCTGTTTTAACTGCAGGGACAATTCGAAGGCTGTCTTGGACAAAACGTTGACCCGGTCCGGGTCGGCTCCCCGGTCCACCAGCTGCCGAGCTACAGCCTCCTGCAAAACACGACTTCAGCTACAAGGAAACCAATCACATTTTTCTGTGGAAATACAGTGTGAGCGCTGAATGGTGCTGACATGAACCAAAGAAGCTGAAACTGAGTTGTTAAAGCTAAATGAAACAAAACACTGGCTAAAAGCTAACAGAAGCAAAGGGTGGCTAAAAGCTAAAAATGCCTAAAGTCTTGTTGAAAGTTATGTAACAGTTGACTAGAAGCCAAAAGTACAAAAAAAAATAGCTTTAAGCCAAAGTAACAAGAGACCAGCTAAAAGCTAAAGATTCAAAAGGCTAGGTAAAGAATAAAACGAACAAAAAGTTTGCTTAAAGATAAAAGCTGCTCAAAGCAAGCTGAAAATAAAAGTAGCAAAAAGCTAAGAAAATGTAAAAATAACATAAGTCTAGTTAAATATTAAAGTAGCAAAAGACTAGCTAAAAGCAAGAAAAAACTGTCAAATATAATACAAAGTCTAATGAAAAGATAAGAATAATAGATGGCTAGATTGAAACTAAATGTAGCTAAAGACTCGCCAGAAAACAAAAGTAGCAAATGGCATGCTAGAAGCTAAAAGTAGCAAGATGCTAGGAAAAAGTAGCTAAAAGCAAAAGCAACAAAAGGGTAGCAAAAATAAAAAGTAGCAAAAGGCAAGCTAATGGCAAACAATGAAAAAGACTAGGTAAAAGTCAAAAGTAATTAAAGGATAGCTAAAAGTAGCAAATAGTTAACTAAAACAAAAGAAGCAAGAGGCTAAATAAAAGTAGCAAAAGGCTTGCTAAAATTTACAAAAATCTAGCTAAAAGCAACAAAAAGCAAAAGACTAGCTAATGACTAAACGTGAAAAAGGCTAGGCAAAAGCCAAAAGTAACTAGAGGCTAGGTAAAAGTAGCAAAAGGCTAGCTGAAAGCTAAATGTAGCAGAAGGCTAGCTAAAAATGAACAAAAATGTACCTAAAAGCAACAAAAAGCACAAGACTAGCTAATGGCTAACAGTGGAAAAAGGCTAGGTAAAAGCCAAAAGTAACTAAACGATAGCTAAAAAGTAGTAAATGGCTAGCTAAAACTAAAGAAGTAAGAGGCAAGCTAAAAGTAGCAAAAGGCTAGCTAAAATGTACAAAAATCTAGCTAGAAGTAACAAACAGCAAAAGACTAGCTAATGGCTAAAAGTGAAAAAGGCTAGGTAAAAGCCAAAAATAACTAAAGGATAACTACAAGTAGCAAAAGGCTAGCTGAAAGCTAAAGGTAGCAGAAGGCTAGCTAAAAGCCAAAAGTAGCATAAGAAGATAAGAGCAAGTTCGTTGAAGCTCATTTCAAAGAAGGAAATGTTTTTGAAGGAGGACACTTTTGGGGTGATATTTGTTGAAAAGTTCAATATTTTTATGGTTTTCTGTGATATGTCAGATTTATCTGTACAGCCTGGCGTGCATTGTGGCCCCACCTTCCCACTGAGGGTGGCCGCCATCAGAGGACCCCAGCCAGTGGTTCTGTGGGTGAAGTTGGCGTCAGAGCCCCACTCCAGCAGCAGGTGGACGGTGGCCTCGTGCCCATGCTGAGACGCCACCATCAGAGCCGTGATGTCCATGAAGTCTCTGCCTCCTTCTCCTCCTGGACTGCACTCAGCCGGTCCAAACCCAGCTGCACTGTGGGGACAGAAAGGAGGATCAGCGTCTCGGGCTTCAGAGAAGAGCCAGTCGCCATGACGATGAAACAACCTGCAGCTGTTGTTGTTGTTGCCACTGGATACCGACTCCGCTGTGACAGTCAGATGGTCGTAGTCATCGACGAAGGCCCCGCTCTCCAGGAGCAGCTTGGCCACGTGGACGTGACCCCCACGGGCCGCCATGGTCAGGACGCTCGCCCCTAATCGGTTCTGCCCGTTTATCTCCGCCCCATTCTCCAGGAGGAGATGGGCAACAGTCAGGTGACCAAACCTGGATCAAGAGAGTACCTAGCATTAACATATTTACACAAAACAAATGGACCCTATTTTAAACCAGTTCTGCCACAGTCTGTTAGCAAAATATCTTGTGAACCACTAGATTTTAATGAAACTGAACGCAATAATTTAGGAATTATGTAAATTCAAGATGGCCACCACAACTAATCAACCATTTAAAACACCAAAACGCGTATAAATCAGTTGATTTGACAGATTGGGTAAAGTCTGGGTGTGATGGGCGTGAGGGGTCCTCTGTGTTTGGGGGTGCTCCAGCACCGCCTGCGCCCATACTTCCCAATGTCCTGAAACCGAGATTCAGAAAGTCTGGATGGTGAAAAAAACACTTTAGCTCCTTGGAAGGCAAATAAAACAAAACGGGAACCGGATCAGAACCTTTACACCGGGTTTTTTGTCCAACAGAACCAGCACAAATAGAAAAGTTCTGGTGTTTATCCACAAGCCTCCACCGGAGGTCCTGCCCCACCTGGCTGCCTGCATCAGCGGGCTCCAGCCGTAGTTGTTCCGGCTGTCCACCGACGCTCCCTTCCGCAGCAAGAACCGGACCAGGTTCTCGTGGCCCCCCGCCGAGGCGAACTGCAGGGCGGTGTTCCCCTCCTCGTCCGTGCAGTCCACCGGCACCAGGGACGGAGTGAGGTCCGGGGCCAGGCACTCCGAGCCCGCCTCCGACCTCAGCCTGCTCTGCCGACCCGACTCCCTCTGGCCCCCCGGCTCCAGGACGCCCCGGACCGTGTCGTAGTCGCCCTCATCGCAGGCCCGGAACAGTAGCCGCGAGTTAACGGGGACACAGAAACTCATTTCTTCATCTGGTGTGTTTTTATTCCGCCTCCATTTTTTATCTTCGCCGAGAAACTTTTCTTCTTCTTCTGTCACTTTTTGGCTTCCGTTTGGAAATCATGACGCGCAGTGAAATAAACTTAACTTTTCTCAATAAGACTTGTGATTATCTTTCCCAAACAGTAAAGAAAAACATTTTCAATCTTTACACCAGTCATATCTTTCTTAACAAAACAGCTTTTCTGACGACCAGCCCTGCGGTTCTGCCCGGTTCCGTTACTTTCGTCAAGCGTCATTCAACACAACCAAGCACTTCCGCATGGTTTTACAAAATAAAAGCGTAGTTTGTCTAAACGCGACATGAAATACGCATGCGCAATCGTTCCACTCCACGTAAAGCCTGGGTTCGTTGCATTTTGACGCGAAACTATGACAAGTTTTAAGATTTCAATATGATTTCTAGATCATATCTTAAGTTAAAAGATAACCAATCGTTCCAAGAAATAAAAAGTGTAGTTGTTCAGACATTGTTGACAAACAGCAAATACGTATGATATAATTAACATATTTTGAATATTAGACCTATGTTCGGCCCCAAAACAGTCATAAATGTAATATAAATAAAAAAGAATATCTAAGTACAGTATTCTAAATTTATTTTAAACAAAAGAATTGTTGAAATCCTGTATTGATACAAACGTCTTAGCTGTCTGTTTTTGTTATTTTTATTATTCTGAAATAGATTTTTATTTTTGTTACTTTATTAATTGATTGTTCAGGGACCACAAAAATCTTTATTTTCTCTGTTGAAAATATTCCGAGTGTGCATTAATCTCTGGTGTCCTCTAGTGGCCGAAGTAGAAACTACACCACCTACCACCACAGAAGAAGAAGAAGCAGAGCCCCGGATGTAGAGTACATATCTCGGAAACAGGCCTCGACTCGTCCTTTTTCACGAAGAGCTAACCACGTTCGTGGAGTTCCTTCCTGGCTCACCGCTGTTCGCTTGAGTTTCTCCCGAATAAGTCGGTCAGGAGTTTTCAAAATGGTACGTGCTGTTTTAGGAAATCAACCGCTAACTTCTGGTTATGATCAGATAACCCTATAGTTTATTTTAACTTTAAATTTTTAATCTAGTAGCATATTGCTAGCACTAGCTTTCGGGTTCCCGCCGGATACAGTTCACAAAACACAAGTTTAACAAGAATCGCAGCGTTTTTATGATAAACCTGTTTTGATAGTATAGCTTTGTTTTCGATGTTTTCCTTATAGTACGCTTAACAATTCGTCCGAAATCTTTTTTTAAATAGTGCTTCGTTTTAGTTTTAAAAAGGTCAAAGTAAACACCTGGTTATACATTTTGCTCCGCGTGTGAGATGCGTTCACTGTCCGACGTTCACTTGTAAAGTCTTAAACTGAACCAACAATATTTTTTAAATAGTTTTTGTTACAGCGGTTTGTAATTTTTTTAAAGCAATCTTAGATTATTATTCCATTCTTATTCAATTTATTCCATAACAATCATTGTCCCCATGTTTCTGCAGCCACATGGGTCTTTCATCCTGTCAGTGGCTCCTTACCTAATGTTTGTATTTCAGTAAACCAGAATACATTTTAGCAGTTTTCATATTTAATGTTTTGCATATTTATTGAGTTTTTGCAGCAATTAGGCTCCAATGATACGAATAGATTGGGCTGCCAGTTTGCACTCTGCTTTTTAAATTAAAAGTAGTAGATATTGTTATTGGTGCACAATGTACACGTGTTCCTGTCATTTCAGTACAAGAACTGGCTAAATATGACTTTATGACTCGTTTCTGGCAGGTTTACAGTACCAAAACACAGGCCTGCTGTAGTTGCTGTATTGTTGGTGTTTTCTTGAAACTGTGCCGATAGTTTTTATAAAAAAATTCTATGTGGGCAAAACTGTAGCCTGTATTTTAAGCTGCAACTTCACCAGAAAAGTAACTTATTTCCAGCACACTCAAACTGCAGAGAATTATTTTGCACATCAGTTGGAAATGAAGCATCAAAATGCAGCGTAACACATCTTGTTATTCATAAAAGCAAAGAGGTGAAAAGGAAATAAAGGCCTGCCTTCATTGAACGTGTCACTATAAGCATGTACAGGTTTATGCCATTAAAGGGCATTTAAGTGTTTAAACGCAACAAGCTTTGTTTGTTTTTTTTCCCTTGCAGGCTTTCAAAGACACCGGTAAGGCACCCGTTGAGTCCGAGGTCGCCATTCATCGCATCCGCATCACCCTCACCAGCCGTAACGTCAAATCTCTGGAGAAAGGTGAGCGAGCGCCGTTCATTTTGTGTGAACAGTAAAACAGTCTGAGCAGTGAGGAAAAGAACTTGACAGAAATGAACCGTGGTGATTGTATACGCTATTCTGAGCCAGAACTTGGAACAGAGTTATAAAAGATTGGCTTTTTGGTTTTGTGTATTTATGTCCTTTTTGGGTTTTTTCAACAGTCTGTGCAGACCTGATCCGCGGCGCTAAGGAGAAGAGCCTGAAGGTGAAGGGACCCGTCCGCATGCCGACCAAGGTACTGGAGATAATGGACCACATTAACTGTGTTAACGCTGATTATAAGTAAAACTCTGCCACATTTAAATCCTAAAACGATGCACTAAATTATTGGAATCTGTCGTTTCCGTTTTAGACTCTGCGCATCACCACCAGGAAGACTCCCTGCGGTGAAGGGTCCAAGACCTGGGATCGCTTCCAGATGAGGATCCACAAGCGCCTCATCGATCTCCACAGCCCGTCTGAGATCGTCAAGCAGATCACCTCCATCAGCATCGAGCCGGGCGTGGAGGTCGAAGTCACCATCGCAGACGCATAAATGAGCCGCAGAGCAGGTTTTCAATAAAGAACTGAGAAAGGAAACTAAATCTGGTGTCTTGTGTTTTAAGTGGAAACAAAGATGGTGGATGGAGCAAACCGTGGCTCTGAATACGAGCATTCCACCTTATATAAAATATATAAGCCGGTGTTTTGACAAAAGCCTTTTTAAAGAAACGCTTGAATTTTGTCCATTTATTGTTTTTCCTCCCAAGATGCATTGTTGAATAAGATGAGAGGAAAAATCACCTGCAATCAGAAGTGAAAGCGTTTTCAAAATATCTTCTGAATCACTGAACAAATTCTAATGAAACCCAGAAAATGATCACCTGATGTACACCTTCAAATTATTTTATTTTGACAGTCGACCCAATTGAAAGTGTCACCCACAGCTGATCAACCTTTTTACAGACGTCGAGCTAAAACTTGTGGTAGTAGCCGAGAGTCATCCCTAACATACTCTTTGAGTGTAACGTTATACTCAAATGGCTACAACTCAACATAAGATGATTAAATTGTCATTTAAAGTGGTTTTGCTTCAAAGTTTAAAAGCCCTGCTTGAGTTCTATGTTGAGTAAAATCCCAGGGCTCTGATTGGTCACACATGATGATGCGTTTGTGCTCACCTGTTTTCAATTTGATATAACCACAAGCTCCTGATGGTGTTCAGTGATTGACCTTCCTGCTGGTGGTGCTGAGGTGAAATTGGTGCTTTTACCAAACCAAAAATAAGCTTGTTCCAAAAACCTTGGAGATGTTTCGTGTCAGGATGGGTTCAATCATTGATCTGACTGAGGACTCGAGTCTGTCTGTGGACACGGACCTGACTGATCAGGATTTTCTCTGCAGTCCTACAGTCCAGCAGGTAAGGGTACCCATGGTGCAGCCGTATCTGTGATGTTTACTTCAACTGATGGGAGGGACTGAAATAAGCTTCTCTTCGTCAGCCTGAGCCACAGATGATGCAAATCTACCTCAGAGTTCGGCCATTTTCAAATGAGGAGCTTGACAACAATGAGGAGCAGGTATGATGTGGAAATTGCTTCAGTTTAACAGGTGTGCTCTTTTGAGGGACTGGACTATGATCAATTCTTAATGTCTTCGAAATGTTGAAGAGGAACAATGTACTGCCTGAAAACTTGATACGTTTCAACTTCTCTGAACAAGTTCCAGACTGATTTTGAACAGTAACTTCAAGCGCCGTTTTGAAACTTTGTTAAAATCTTCCCCTCTTGGCCGTTTCCCCCCAATTCTCCAGTTTTTAAGTTCCAATCTTGATAAATTTGCTTCCATTCTACAAGATGTACAAGAGGCAGCATAAGGACAAACTTGCTGAGTCACTGGTTGCCATGGTGATTCCCCCCTTTTGGGAGGGTAGAGGGAGTGGTCTCGGTATTATTCATCAAACACAAACTAGAAATTGGGTCTCAAATAAATAAACTTTTGCTCTACAAAACCTTCAAGTTGTATTAAAGAAAATCTAACTGTAGAAAAAAGTTTTTTGTGGCCATAAGTGATTTTATTTTTTTTTTTATTTACTTTCAGTGCATTTTTATAGAAGATATAGATTAAAAAGACATACTTCTGGTTTTGATAAGTTAATTTTAAACTCATAAAGAAGTTAATGATTGTGTGCTTGCTAAGGGGATTTACAAGAATAAGACCTATAGCACTGAGACATTTTGTGAAAGAAGACAAATGTCTTTTTACCGTATAAACCGTATGGGAGGTGTGACAATTGAGATTAAGATTTGCTATAACTTTGGAACATTTTACGGTTAATCTTTAAAAATCATAAAACCTAAACTGTGACTATGTTAAAAACTGTTAAAAGATTTCAAAATGCCACACTGGTCATATTATTATATCTAACTTTCTTTGACCCATTTAAACTGTTTTGTTTGTGAAATGTGCACGTTTCCAGCACGGGAAACCTTTTATTTCAGTGTCATACCTTTTTTTTTTTTTTTTTTCTTAACTTTTTGTAAATTACTGGGAATCTGCTTGAGTTTAAACATAAACTCAAACTTAATTTTTGTTTCGCTTTTCTGTTCAGGATTGTGTTGTAATTAAAGACAGCCAGACGGTGGCTCTAACTGCACCCAAAGGCTCGGCCAACATGAAGAGCAGTGAGAAAGGGGTTGGGACGTCAGTCCACCAGTTCTCCTTCTCAAAGGTCAGGATCGGTTCGAATGAGCCTCTTCAGGTCTGTACTCGTGCAAACTACATCGTCCTCCTCCTGTTGAACCTCAGGTTTTTGGACCCCAGTCAACACAGGCTGAGCTGTTTGAGGACACTGTAAAAAGCCAGGTGTCTGATTTCTTAGATGGAAAGAACGTTCTGATATTCAGTTATGGTGTAACCAACGCTGGGAAGACCTTCACAATCCAGGGTAAATGGCACAAACCCACTCTGAGCTTTAAACCCAGTGACACTCTTAAAATCTAGATTTAAAATCTCATCAGGAACGACCAAAGAGCCTGGGATACTCCCCCGAGCACTAGAAGCCATCTTTGACTACATCAGAGGTCACCAGTATGATGGGATGGATCTAAAGCCCTTCCTCAGCAACGCAGCACAGAATCTGGATCCTGACCAAGTCAAGCAGGAGAGAGCTGCTAAAGCTGCCGTTCTTGCTTCAGTCCATTCAGTTCAAGAAGTAAAGTCTTGGGTTTTAACTAAACATTTGAACATGTGTAGCATCACAACTTGAATATTTTTCCACTCCTCCAGGAAAGCGATCTTCTGAAAACCAGTTCAGAGCCCCAGACATCCTCTGACACCGTTCTCTCAGCCACTTCTTCGTCCCACAATCAAACAGGTACTCCAATTTATTAACCTTTTATTTAACCAGGCAAATCCCACTGAGATCACAGATCTCTTTTGCAAGGGAGGCCTGGACCTGAGGCCCAACATGCCGAGTTAACACTCTTCTAGTTGAAACACTGTGAAGCTAGGCCTTTTGTGCAAGACGATGCTCTTTCCCAGTCAGAACAGTATTTGTCATTGTCATCAGTATTTTTGCAAGGTACCCTTGAAAACGTAAAAGGCAGAAGCTCAGTCTTGTTGCTTGAAATTTGAATGTATTCACAGAATATGATGATTTTCTTTTTTATTTGGGAGGAAGGCAGCGTCACTCACTGCAGCGTTGCTCATAATGCAAGAAAACCAATTAAATTTACAGTATTTTCTGAGTTCTGACTGGTTGTGAACCAGTTTGTAAGGCCACATTCTGTGTGTGTTGCTTGCAAAAGTGTATTCCACAACTTGTTGCTGACCTCTACCCACATCAGAACCACCTTGGCAGCTTCACTCATGATTTGATCTAGTTGAGTATGCTTCAGGACTTGAGGACCAGTTTAGTCCATCTGTGGTGGTTTTTAGAACTCTAAACTCAAGGCTGTGGTCTTGGACGGTTTATTAGGATAGCTCTTGTGCAGGTGGCAAACTCCTTCTCTAGTTACCCAAATAAAATTGAGGTTTAAGGTGCCTTTTTTCTTTTTTTTTTGAGATTTTGTCAGTGCAGCAGAGGCCTCAAGGATGACATGGTGTAGTTCAAGATCACCTGAACTCTGGGCTGCCTGAACCTGTGGCTTCACTTTAAAGTTGCAGGGTACCCAGTGTGAAATGCATTCGGGGCTACCTACCAAACCATAGAGGAAGTGATGTATACAGTGCACCACTGGAGAAAAAGCATTTGTGTCTTTAGCAATTAGCCCGGTCGACCCTAACCGCATCTGCACGAAGACTTGCTGCTGGACAGCTGCTCCTCATCCAGCAACTTCTTCTGAAGTCAAAATCCCTCGATGTCCTGTTGCAGGTTACTCAACTGACCTGCGTCACGATCGCGCATGACCTTCTCGTGATCATTCAGCTCGATTTTGTCGTGAATTTGTGCACCATGCAAACGTATCGTAATCAACTTTTTTGGGGGGGATTTTAAGTTAAAAAAAAAAAAAAAAAAAATCCTAGAGGATTTACTCTATAAATTTAAGACTACATTTTTGAGAAAAGTTATTACCTTGATCGATGTTGAGGATTTCAAGAGCAAAAACCTTTAATTTTATTGTCTATAGAGAATGTGGCAAAAATGCAAGTGCTGCTTATTTAATTGTTCGTGATGTTTACAAGTTGCTAGTCTCTGGATTTTAATAATTTTTTGGTTCTTTTGTAGCGTTGGCCAGCAGTCCAACAGAAGAAAGCGGGGATCTGTTCGCCTTATGGGTGTCTTATTTTGAAATCTACAACGAGTGCGTGTACGATCTGTTCCAGCCAGCTAAGAAACGAACAGCTCTCCGTGTGTGCGACAACGGAGCTGGAAACACTTATGTTAAAGGTGTGGAAAATGTTCCAAACCAGATCAGAGGCGTAAATCCTGCGTCTGGTTTTTGAAAACTCAAAGTAAGATCTGGTTTGGTTTCAGACCTCCAGTGGATTAACATCCAGAATCTGGGGGAAGCCTGCAAACTTCTCCAGTCTGGAAATAAAAACAGGAGCGCTGCAGTTACTAAAACTAACCAGTCATCGAGCAGAAGGTAAACGATTTAACTTTGTAAAAATTATTATTATTAATTTGTGTTTTCTTTTGGGTATTGAGTGATCCATTTCCTTTGTTTTGTAGCCACAGCATATTTACCATGAAGCTACTGAAGATCGAGGGCCAAAATGTGAAAAGGATCTCGGAGTAAGTAGAATTTTTCAGAAGTTTCAGCGACTCAAGTTCAAGTCTCATTGTTTTTCACCAGTTTGACTGGAGCTAGAAAAATGTAGTAATTATGGTAAAATATTAATCTAAGCCTTTAAGTAAAAACCTGAATGTGCACAAGAACCCATTCTCCCTCCTAAACTCAATACATTGTCACAATTTTCTGCAGCGGTCCCAGCACCGAGTCTCTTCAGGTCTGTCTCCGTGATCTTGGTCCATCTAACCTCTAAAGTTTTGTCCATTTTGCTGATTCAGGTTGGATGGGTCTTAATAGTGTCCAACAGTCTTTTAAGTTGGTTTGAGGTCTGGTCTTACTGGTCCATTTCAGAACATGTTACTGGTTCTTCTTAAACCGGTGTAGCGTTGCTTTTATGGGGTCAGTGTCCTGCTGAAGAAAGTGCCATGTATTCTCATCACTGTATGTTCCCTTATGAAATCTTGTGCTCTGCATTTAACCCATCACACGTGAGATACACGCAGGTGGAGCAGCGGGCAGCTATGCAAGCGCCTGGGGAGCAATTGGGGATTGCGACTTTCTGGTCCCAAGTCGGTTGCTCTACCTCCTATACCTTCTTTGACCCTTCCTGCTGGAAGGTCACCTTCCATCCCAGTCTCGCATCTCTAAAGGTCAAGTAGGTTCCCATCAAGAACTCTTTTTTTTTTTCAGATGTTTCCCAGTCCTTGCTGTTGGAAAAGCAATCCCACAGCATGAATCTTGAGCTATTGAACGTAGGACAACTGGGCTTTTGTTTCTTGGCTGTTTCACCTCTCATCCAAAAGCCTTTTAGTTCAAATCATCGGTTGGGAGTTCCAGACGTTTTAGTTTGTTGATGGAACAATAAGGTAACGTTGCATGGGTCACTGACCCACCCCTTCATCCTGTGAGTTGTTCAGGCCGTTGACACTTGTTGAACGCTGTCTAATGCACCCAACGGGATGTGGTTATGTAACCATCTAGAGAGAGACTAGTCAAGAGTGCACTTTAGGTGTTTGACAGATGAAACCTGAGTCTGACACTTCGGGTTAATGTTGGTCAAAGCAAATGACTTTGCTCAGTCAGGGTTGGTGTATATTTTTCTTCCTGGATGTTTATCTTATTAATGTCCTCCCCCGCCTTTGAGTTTTGGGAGATGACCCCCTCTTGGTATAGTGCCATTTTCATTTTCTAATAAAGTTCTATGGCAGAACTGGCGGCCGGGCGGGGGCCAACTCAGGCCAAGGGATGAACTCAGTTTGGTCCACCAATGGGTTCATTTTAAATAAAACTAGATTTTAAACCATAAAACAAACTTACTTGATGGCAACAACTGTTTGATGTCCAGCCCCTGAGGTCTTGGCTTTCAGTAATTGTGCCCCCCTGAACAATTTGGTCGAATAGCCCTGTTCTATGATCAGTACTGATCTGTATGTATTTACAACTTACTCTTGGTCCTTTTTGTGGAGAGTTTCTTGGTTTCTCAGTTGATGGTAACCCTGACATTAAGTTGTAAGATAACAAACCGCAGGGCACTGAGGTGGTGAATACTGTGTAAACGCATGCGTTCCTCAGATTCTCTCTCTGTGATCTGGCTGGATCTGAAAGATGCCACAAAGCCAAGACGTTTGGAGAGCGGCTGAAGGAGGCCGGGAACATCAACAACTCCCTCCTCATTCTGGGAAAATGCATCACCGCTCTCCGCAGCCATCAGATGGACGGGTACAGGAAGCGATCCAACAGGTGCCAACGCTCCGAGTCTAGTTGCAACTCATCGGGTCTCTTTGTGTGTTTTTTTTTTTCTTCTGTTAGAGCAAAAAATGGCTATATTCCTTTCAGAGAAAGCAAACTCACCAAGCTCTTCCAGGCCTTTTTCTGCGGCAGAGGAAAAGCATCGATGATCGTCAACATTAACCAGTGTGTGTCCACCTATGACGAGACGCTCCACATTATGAAGTTCTCCGCCATTGCCAAACAGGTTGGCATGATGCTGTATGGAGATTAATCCACAAAGAATCTCAAAAAGACGATTTAGTCTACTGACTTTTATATTTATTTATTTTTAGGTGGTTCAGTTGATTCCTGACAAGCCTGTGGAATCTCACATTCCTTGTTTGTTTGGTCGAGATGGGAAGCCATTGGAAAGCTACCACTCTGAAGAGGAGCTGCTAGATGAAGATGATGAGGCTGATGTGTCCCTGCTGCCACACAGTGTATAACTTCTGAGATCTATCCTATTTAATCCTCATTTCACACGAGTTAATTGTTCCAACAGTGGCAGGTATTTTAAGCAAAGTCCATTCGGAACTGCGTTGACTTGTCACATGTCCACATAAGCTGATGACGTGCCTAATAGACTTTGACATGGGAACAAGCTTGTGAATTTTATTAGAGAACTTGAAGTTGGTGAAATCTTATCAGCGCTGACACTTTTAACATGTTATCAGGACTATGGAACCATCTGGAAGTGTTTCATGGACAAATCTCAGTCTTGTCGTCAAATGCATATGTAATGCGTCTATAAATGTGTCTGCTGGTAGATTTATTTTATTTTTATGTCTTAAACCATGTCCTGGCAAGGTCTGAAGAGATCTTTTTTTTAATGCCAACTATCCTAATTGTCTTTCCCCTTTTTCTATCTAAAGAATAGGGGCCGCGCTTCTAGGAGCTGCAGCCACGTGCACTCCGCCCATCTTTCGGACGACCGTATGAATTACAACTTTGTTGTACTTCACTGTGCATTGACAATAAAACTTATTCTGATCTAATTTAGCAGACGCAAATTCCAGTAACAGTTTTCAAAATTAACAAACACTAATCTGCTTAATGAAAAATGAGTTCCTCTGTTAGCAGATTAGCGGAACTGTGCCCACCACTGTGAAATACAATATAACTGCATTGAGAAGACTATAGCATTCTAATTTGTAAAGCTCTCTTTACCTTGGCCATGCGCTTTGGGTCATTGCAACAAAAGTGAACCTTTAGCCCAGTCCTGAGGCCGCAGGATGACGTGGGAAAGTGTTGTCCAGGTGAATGTCCCCAGTTCAGTGATCGGTGTTTTCATGGGACCAGAGAACCTGGTTCCTCAATTTAAGAATCCTTTAAGTCTTTGGGGCTGATGAGGTTTGTATAACAACTTGGCCATTAAATCCAGATTATTGGAGGACTGCAGATTGACCACTGGGTCCTTGGTCACCGGTCTCATTCCCTTCTCCCTCATTCGCTTTTTTGTAAAGAATAGTTCTGGTTGCATTTCTTGAATTATACAGTTTTGCTCTTTTTTTTTTCGCCGCCTGTTCAGTTATCTGTCCAACTTCAACACATTTTCAGTCATTCAGCACTTGGCTTTCACACTGTAGTTTATCCATTTAATGCAAATTTATCTTTTTACCCAAAGGGTGCTTTTATTGTTCCAGCCAAGCCTGTGTCTAACTACTTTTTTTTTTTTGTTTGTTTTTTGTTCTAGGAGTTTCTGAATATGATCGATATTCTACGAACCAAACTTCTCGCTGAGCGAAGGAGAAACTTGGTGCAGGAAATAGAAATCCGTAAGGAAATGGGCGACGCCATGCTGAAACAGATCCTGAAGAGTGAAGAACGTCACAAGTCGGTCACCCCCAAGATTTTAGCTAAATTTATGTTGGTCTTGGATTAATTCTAAGATCAATGTTTGGTGTTCATTGCGATCATATTGTTAAGTCGACAGATTGAAGAGCTGAGGGAGCGCCATGCTGAAAAACTGGAGAACACGTTTGAGATGTACAAAGATGCAATCAAAAAGCATGCCTATCAGTGTGCCTTAAACGATCTGGAGGATAACTACGTACCGCTCGACGAGTTCAGTGCTGAACAGAAGAAAGCAGAAGTAGGTTTCTTTTGTTAAACATTTTGTGTGCTGGAATAACGGGAATAAAAGTAGTTCAGTCTATTTGAAGCAGGTTTTTTTTTTTTTTTAAGTTTAATTATGACAGCACAAGCTGATGAGCTAATGGTTAGTCAGAACATCAAAGTGTATTGCGATCTTAAAACAACTCTGGCGTCCAAAGGTCTAGTGATTCTCACACATGCTGTTCTATAAACCTTTACATTGCCATTAATTTAAATGTTCTATTGTAGTTCCAGCAGAAGTATTGGAAAATTGTCATATGAAGTGCTACAGCTAGCTACTGCTGTCATAAACCTGCAAATTGTAAAATTATCTATAAATTGGAGAATTTAAATTAGATTAATTAGTTGGTAGAGCTGCTGCCTCTCAGCGAGCAGGTTGCCCCAGTTCCAATCCCGACTGGGGGGCTTTCTGGGTGAAGTTTGCATGTTCTCTCCATGCATGCATGGATTTTCCCCGGGTACTCCAGTTTCCTCCCACAGACCAAAAACATACACGTTAGACTGATTGGTAACTCTAAATTGTCCTTATGTGAGAGTGAGTGTGAATGGATGGTTGTCTCGTTTGTCTCTGATGGACTGGAGAGATGTCCAGAGTTTCCCCTGCCTCACACAGTGATGGCTGTACATGGGCACCAGGGACCTGAAAAGGAAGCGGGTAAAGATAATGGATGGATGGATACTTTATTAATCCCAAGGGACATTCAAACATCCAGCAGTAGCTACAGACCAACACAGGAACCAACCTAGAACCTCTTGTAAAGTGACCTAAAGCCCTTAAGTACCCTTCAGAGTGCATTACCCTGCCAATGAGGTGTTGCAGTCATCTGGCCATGGGGACAAAAAGTTTCTCAGTCTTTGTAGAGCAGGATTGTGGCAGCAACTTATGACTGACTGCCCTCCTGCCTGCTGAAGATGCAGGTGGCGTGTATTTTGTCCTGGGTCTTTCTCTCTGCTACAGTCCTAAAGAGTCCAGCACTGAGCCAACCTTCCTTGCCTGTCTGTCCAGCTATGTCCTTCTGGATGCTGTCTCCCCAGAACACTACAGTCCACCATAAGACACTGACCACCACAGATGTTGAAGGTCCCCGGTCTCAAAAACTACAGGCAGCTCTGCTCCTCCCTATAGATGGCATTTGCATTCGCTGTTCGGTCTGTCGTCCCAACTGCAGTCCAGGTATTCATAGGTCCTGACCACATTGGCCCTGTTAACAGATGCTGGGTGAAGATTACGCTTGTTCCTTCAGAAGTCCATCACAATTTCCTCAGTCTTGGAGGTTTTCAGCTACAGTTGCTCAATACCATCCCCTTAAGCCTTCCACCAGGCTCCTGTATTCCTACGTTTGTCCACATCTGATACATCCAGCTTTTAGTGTTTGAGTATTTCTGCATGCAACCGAGCTAGAAGTCAGATGTGTCCAAAATAAACAGAAAAGAGTAGAGCACTCAGCACAGCGCCCTGTGGTACTCCGGTGCTGCTCAACATGGTGCAAGATATCATGGTCTTTATTCTGACAAACTGTTTCTGTGAGGTAGTCCAAAAAAACATTTTAATAACCAAATTGTCAACTTTTTATTTCCTACCACCTCTGTAGGCCCTTCAACACAAAGTGTCAGAGTTGGAGAGCTTGTTGTCCAGAGGGGTCTCTGTGGTTCCAACCATGGAGCAGTTCTGCCAGACGGAACCGTCTACCAATGCAAGCAAAGCAGGTTACCTTTTTTATTTTTATTATTTTGTGAAGTTGCAAACTACTTTTAAGACTTGTCAAAAATAAAACCTTGTCTGTTTTGTCGTCGCAGAAGACGATCAATTCCAACTACTTTACAAAGAAAAATGTGCCGTGGAACGAATGTTGGAAAACAATCTGCAGGTAACAAAGGCAAATTTTGAAGTGATTTTATTTTAAATACTTAGGGGCTGTGTTTGGCTTTCAGTTGATTTCAGCCCTGGAGAAACGGCTGAGGTCAGTTAATGAAACTCTCCAGGATGCAAAGGATGCCTTCCAGGAGAAGTCTGCTCTTGTTGAGGATCTGCAAAAGAAACTGAATGATCAGGTGAGATGATCTCAATATGTTGGTGTTTGATTAAAGCCTACCTGTCCACAAAAACATTTTTCTACTGGTCCTCTACCGTGGGCGAGACAAAAACCTCGAGGAACAGATGGTAGTTCTACCATTTTTATCAAACTTAAGGAACTTTGTAAGAAGGTGACAACTGTTGAGATTATTCAGAAATGGAGGAAATGCAAAATGGATATCAGTCACCCTTGGTCTAGTCGCCATGTAAGATATTTTGCCTGGGACGAAGATGGGGAATGTGAGGGATCAGCCCACAGCTTCACAGGAGGGGCTTGTTCATGACCTGAAGTCAGTCAGAACCACCTTTGGTAACGCATTACGTTGAAATGGACTGAAGAAATCTCAGAGCGTAATGAGTACAATGCAATTGGCATTCTTAATGTCAAAATATATCTAAAGGATAGTTTAACAGGGGCAGCTGTGGCTTGAGTGGTTCGAGCAGTCGTCCTCCAATGGGAGAGTTGGGAGTTTGATTCCACTAGCGGTCACATGAAGTGTCCCTATGCAAGCCACTGAACCCATAGTTGCTAACACCTCTGTCCCATCGGTGTATGAATGTGATCTAAAGCACTGATTGGTCTATACAGATTCAGATTATCTTTGTAGAGATCTAGTGTTTTGTGAATGTGGATAATTGTGTACGGAGGTAAATGACGGCATAGATTGTTGTAAGTACTTTTGAGTATCTTGATTAGATAGAAATGTCATGAGTACAGTCCATTTACCATTTATACAGCACATCACACTATTGCACATTAGGGAATGATTGCAAATGGCTATGGTACATTTGTGCAGTAGGTGCTGCGTGGCATTTAATGCCCCGTGGGATGAAAGCTGTTTTTTAATGCTCCTATACATCCTGCCTGATTGCTGTGGTTGGAACAGGATGCAATCTTTTAAAAATGTGGCTTTCCTGAGACTGGGAGCTGTCCAATTCTTTCAGAGAGGGCAAGGTGCACCCAGTAATCTTAAGGGGCAGTGTTGACCCCCTGAAGAGCTCTGGCTTTCTCTTCAAGCATGGCTGGTCAGGTTGATGCCAGACCATAATCCCTAGTCTGCTGATTTCACTGCGGTAAGGTGCCAATGAATGAGTCATGTAACATAAAAACTTACACCTTTTTTTTTTTTTTTTGTAATGGTGGGTGAAATCCCCTCCCAAGATGTATACAAACTTGATCACCAGTAGAACAAACACATGTTTTTGTGTGGGTAGCAAACTTTATTTGCTCTTAGAAGTGCAACAGTTTCACATACACTGGTGAAGATTCTCATTCATCCAGAGCATGCTAAATTCGTACCCAGTCATTTTCACACCGATCAAGAATTTCATCCATGTGATCAGAGTTGCCCTTCTGTGAGTCAGACCCCAACAACCCCTATTTTGAGGAGTGAGAGGGCAATCTGCATCTGTATCTAGCTTACCTCAGCTTTAACCCGAACCCCACACTGTCCTTTGAAGTGAGAAAGCTCCTCAGATGAGAAGTGAAACGTCTTTTTGAGTTCTGCATATAGAACTCGTGATCGTTGAAATAAAAACGGGTTTACTTTTTTTTTTTTTTTTTTCCATTTGTAGTCGAAATCTATGGAGGATGTCTTGCAGCAGAATGCGGAGAAGGACCAGGAGATCTCGTTGTTGAGGGATCAACTTGCCAAGCTCTCCCAGAATTCTCCTGTGCAGCCGAAGGCCAAGAGAGGCCTCCTCGCCAACATCAAGGAGGCGGTCGGGTCGCCTCGGAAATGTCCCATTACCCGGAAGAAAATGACCATAACTCTGAATACCGATCACTGACGTGTTTTTTTTTTTTTTTTAATTTTAAGTTGGCACATTTTAATTGTTTTTACTTTTTAAAATTCTAATAAAATTTGACATTTTCAGACTTGTAATGGGTCGTAACTTTTTCTCACGGGTCTGCCTTTGTTGCTTCAAATCGCTTGTGCACTATCAGTTCCTGCTCTGAGTTTTATATCAACATATCTGGAAACTACTGGAGTGAAATATTTTATACTGCACCGTTTTGATAAAGTTCAGGATAGTTTGCAACAAGTAGCTTTAATGTTAACCAGCAGCTAATGAATGCTTTCAAATCATTCTCCCATTTAGATCCATTTTTTTTCCCCGTTATGTTTTTCAGCACGTAACTCGTTCCTCGGGTCTATTTCAACGACTCGTTCATCAAAATGTTCAGCTCATTCAGGACATTCCTGCTGTGACTTGTGGTATTTGTGCAATTTTGACTTTTTGAAATGTGTATCTTTTTCAGCCATGGTTTCCTCTTTGAAAATGAATGAAGCTCTCCACATCCTTCAAACCCTTTAGCTGTTTACAACTGCTCATTTCAGCTATTCTGATTCAGGGTTTTCAGCTTCTTGGTGCTCATTTCAGATTTATTTTTAGTTCTGCTCCTCTTTATTTCTGTCTCTCTTGTAAATGAGTCCCTGAAGCTCAGTGGGATTAACCTGTCTAAAGGTTGAATTAATGTTAAATTCAGATCTTTTCCTGCTTTTTCAGCTACTTTTTGGTATTTTACTGCTAATTTGAGTTTTTTTTTTCTTTTTTTCTAATTCACACCTTTTTGATTCTTTGAATAATTTAGCCTTTTTTATGCTTTCAACCTCTTTCTGTACTTCAGCTTGTTTTGTTGCTTTATCAGCTACAGTACTTTAAAATTTCTGCTTTTTTTTCTGTTCAGCTTTTCTTGTATGCCAATTTCAGTTATCTAGTCAGTCTCTCTGCATATTTCAGCTTATTCTACTACATTTCTGCTGCTTTCAGCTTTTTCATTTTCCTGCTTTCAGCAAACGTCAGCTGTTTATATTCAACTCTCATTAAAAGAAACCTTTTCAGCCTGGGTTCAGCTTCTTAAGCAGCTTTCAGCAAAATAATGACCACACTGAATTTTTGCATGAAATGCCATTTCTCTAATTGATGTTTGGATTGTGCACCATAGATGCACCAGTAACTGTTGCTGTCATTTTCTTGTCTTCACAAGTCCTTCCGATTCTCGGCTGTTGTGAACAATCACTCCCGGGGGCTGATGGGATATTTCACGTTGACCTTTCCAGTTGCGTAGAGGTCTAACCAACCTGTATAAAGCGCTCCAGGTAACGGAGCCGAACCTCCTCAGTCGGTGACCGGACCATTGTGGTAGACGGCCAGCTGCTCTCCCATCTCTCGGGGTCTGAGTGATGCTTAATGAGATTAGCAGTTGGCCTGCGTCAGTGCAAAGGGGTCAATCGCAGGATTAGCACACTTGGAGTTGCATCAGTTTTATACTTTTTTCTTCATTACTTTGACTTTCCTGCCTCCGAGGCATGTTCAGCCTGCCTAATAGGAGCGTAGCTGTGGATGTTCTGCAGCATGCTGCCCTGGGACTGAGTCTCTGGACTCTCGGCTGCTGAATGAAGCGGAGGCAGGCGAACAAGTGAAGGACGGTTTGCGCCAAAATCTCTCCTGAGACTCTGGACTGATCCTCCTCATGCCACCTGGAAATAACAAGGTTGGCAACGATGTTACAGCTGGCAACATCCAAGCTCTGGCAGACGGGAAGGCTTTGGTGGATTCTTTGATTAAGGTAAGCTGCTGCACGTTTTTATACTTTTAATGTGATTTGTGTCAGAAAATCCTACATTAGCAGCTGCTTCTACACTTATTGCTCCAGAAAGAAGCATTTTATTGTCTAAAATATTAATTTTTATAGGCCAATATTTCATACTGAATACATATGGTCTCCCCTGCAGCAAAAAATGTACTCTGCTTTGAATTTCCTGCTCCACTGCTTCTTTATAGCGGCTCTTTTGGCTAATGCTTTTGCTTTTTTCCCTTCATAATTTGTATCAACTACTCGGTTTTTATTATTTGGTCTGCTAATATAAAACGTTTTATTTTTGCAAGGTAAAATAGTTTTATTGTTGCCGCTTTGTGTTTTTCAGCCTATATCTATAAAAACACATTAAATTACTGGAACTTTCCTTTAAAAATTATAATATGTGCTTAATTCTTTACCAGTATAAGATTTAAGAGTTAAACATACTTCAATGTTTTGTAACTTAAGTATAAATCTATTTCAGCAGATGTAAAAGAATGGTTTAATCATGACTTATTTTAGTAATTGGATGTGGTTTTAATGGTTTATATTCCTCTGTTTTGCTGCCCGACATGAAAACGGGCCGCTCGACTCCACAAGGTTGTTTTGGCTTATCTAGAAATAGATCGATAATGAGATTATATTGAATATTTTTAATGAATGAAACCACACCAGCTAATCCACTGGGTTAAGCTAATGGTTGATAAAACGATGAGTCTGTGTGATTTAAATCATAAAACCAGTACAGTCTGGGTTTTTTTTTTTTTTTGTGCAGTTTTCTGGCTGGGAGGATTTTATTGTTGCCTAATGTTGGATCTGAAAAGGAGCACTTGAATGCCACAAAATGGCTAAAATTAAGTCAGTTGTGCAGATATGGAGCTAAAATTTAGCGTGCTAGTAGCAGAGAGTCATTCCAACACATCCATTGAGCACACGTGCAAGATCTTTGTGGCGTACCTTTAGTGTGCAATGGTAGAAGTCCTTAAAGAAATGCTTGATTCATCCAGAAAATTAGCTTAAAAATCACAAATGTTTCTTTATTTGAGCAATATTGCTCCTTTACAGGTCGTGGCATGTTACCGGCATTTATCCTCGTGCATCGGCGGGAGCACGGACGGCCTGCAGCTCCGCCACGAGCTGCGACAGACCAGAGAAAAGGCCCAGACGTTGTCTGCAGCCATCTGTCACCACCTGACCTTTCACCTGCGGGACAAGAGCCTCCCCGAGGAGCAGCGGAGGGAGATGGAACTCCTCTGGGTGGCCTTCTCCTCCAGCCTGGAGCTCCTGCACGTAGACATGTGCAAAGTTTTCACCATCAGTGGCATTTTCTCACTGGCTGACCCGGCGTCCCTGGTGCAAACGGGCCTTCAAGGTAAACCACAGTCCTGCGGGATCATCTGTGTGCTTGTTGGCGCTGTCGGTAAAATATCTCAAGTAATTTTTTAGATTGGATGAGCATCTACAACTGACCTTTTGAATTCAACTTGATTCAAGCCTGTGCAAAAAATGACAGTTTTATAAACTTCTGAGCTAAGTTTTGATACGATGACAGCTAAGGCTCTGTTCAGACTCACCTCTGCACAGATTAGATGGATGGAAAGATGTACAGGAGCTGGTCATAACATTTGAATATCATGGAAAAAGTTTATTTTATTTCAGTAATTCCATTCAAAAAGTGAAACTTGTATATTATATTCATTCATTACACACAGACCGATATATTTCAAATGCTTATTTCTTTTAATGTTGATGATTATAACAGACAACTAATGAAAACCCCAAATTTAGTATCTCAGAAAATTAGAATATTGTGAAAAGTATGAACATGAAAAGTATGAGCATGTACAGCATCAATACTTAGTTGTTGCTCCTTTTGCCTGGATTACTGCAGCAATGTGGCGTGGCATGTAGTCGATCAGTCTGTGGAACTGCTCAGGTGTTATGAGAGCCCAGGTTGCTCTGATAGTGGCCTTCAGCTCTTCTGAATTGTTGGTTCTGGCGTATCACATCTTCCTCTTCACAATACCTCATAGATTTTCTTTGGGGTTAAGTTCAGGTGAGTTTGCTGGCCAATTAAGAACGGGGATACCATGGTCCTTAAACCAGGTACTGGTAACTTTGGCACTGTGTGCTGGTGCCAAGTCCTGTTGGAAAATGAAATCTGTCTCTCCATAAAGTTGGTCAGCAGCAGGAAGCAGGAAGTGCTCTAAAACTTCCTGATGGATGGCTGCGTTCACCTTGGACCTTAGAAACCAACACCAGCAGATGACATGGCACCCCAAACCATCACTGACTGTGGAAACGTAACACTGGACCTCAAGCAAGGTGGATTCTGTGCCTCTCATCTCTTCCTCCAGACTCTGGGACATTGCTTTTAAAGGAAATGTAAAATTTACTTTCATCAGAGAACATAACTTTGGACCACTCGGCAGCAGTCCCAGGCGAGACGCTTCTGACTCTCTTGTTCAAGAGTGGCTTGACACAAGGAATGTGACAGCTGAAACCCATGTCTTGCATACGTCTGTGCGTGGTGGTTCTTGAAGCACTGACTCCAGCTGCAGTCCACTTTTTGTGAATCTCCCCCACACTTTGGAATGGGTTTTGTTTCACAATCCTCTCCAGGATGTGGTTATCCCTATTGTTTGTACACTTTTTTTCTACCACATCGTTTCCTTCCCTTCTCTCTATTAATGTGCTTGGACACAGAGCTCTGTGAACAGCCAGCCTCTTTAGCAAGGACCTTTTGTGTCTTGCCCTCCTTGTGTAAGGTGTCTGGTCGTATTTTGGACAACTGTCAAGTCGGCCGTCTTCCCCATGGTTGTGTAGCTACAGAACTAGACTGAGACCATTTAAAGGCCTTTGCAAGTGTTTTGAGTTAATTAACTGGTTAGTGTGTCTTCAGTATTGAACCTTTTCACAATGTTCTAATTTTCTGAGATACTGAATTTGGGGATTTCATTAGTTGTCCCCTATAATCATTAACATTAAAAAAAACACCTTGCACAAACAAACACATAGTGACGTAGACATTCTGCAGAGGGGGACGACGAGCGGTGAGCATGATCATAGATGCTCTCGAGTGCACTGTAAGAGTTCTGATAAAGATGAAATAATCAGCCAGTGTCCTCTGGTGAGATCCATAAACATTCTCAAGGTATGTTGAGGAATGGCCAAGAATAACGACTATGAGAATCCAAGAGTCCTGAAATGATGACGCAAAGTTTATTCAGCTGGTTCCATCTGGTTTAGTTGGAAATTCCTCAGGGAGGGGGTGGTGAGCGTCAGATCACATGTTCTCCAGGTGAATTCAGATAAGATGGCCTTCAAGGCGCCAAATTCAGATAAACACACAGTTGTTTTGGGGACAGGCAGAACTTAATGACATCTACCTTGAGTCTGCGTTGGTCCACTCGGATTGGGTGATTTGACTGCAAGTGGTCAGCCCTGAGTGTTCACACCTGGCAGGTAAACGTGCAACTACCAGATGTCAAGTACCTGCTCAGTACACACAGAGTGGGCAGTCGGTGAGCAACAAACAGGACATCAGCAGATGTTCTGTTAGAATAACAGATTCAGATATCTGAGCTGTTTTAGGTTGACAGTAACACGGTTCAGAGCCATTTGATGGACATATTTATGTAGTTTTATTTTTATTACACAACCTTCAATTCAGTTTATTTATATAGCACCAAATCACAACAGAAGTCATCTCAGGGCACTGAACAGAAACGGTCTCATACAAAAGCCAATCATTAAAATAAAAGTTCTCTAAGTGGAAAGGAAAACCTCCTTTTTTAACAGGAAGAAACCTTCAGCAGAACCAGGCTCAGACCAAACGTCCTCAAATCTGTTGCACCTCATAACTCTAAACTTTTACACAAACTTTAGTGTTTAATGCGCAGACCTTGTTTAGACTAGATTTGTCCATAAAAACCAGAAGACGACAACATATGAAAACATTTACACTTTTTTCCCAAAAGTCAAATTCTCTAGCCACAAATCGGACCCGGTTTTGGATAGAATATAAAGTCTTGGTGTGCACAGGAGAACGTTTTAGTTTTAAAACTGTGTAACAGTTGTATTTTTTTTCCCCTCTGGTGTATTTTACTTTGTCCAACTCATCTGCTCTGTGTCGACTGACTGAGCTTTTATTAGCCGTGCAACACAAATTGAGCGAAACGCCAAATCGTTTAGACACTGGAAAAATTGACGCAGCGTGTTTTGGTGGAAACGCAATGCGATCGAAACACTTGGGATTAATTATCTAAGAGACGCGATGTGAGGTGATTAAAACTGAACTGGAAATCAGAGCGTTGTTTAATTATAATGCAACAAAACGCCTCACTTGTTCTGATTGACTCAACACGTATTGTGTTATTGTGACCACGGCAGGTCCTAAAACAACCAGAATGAACTTTGAACTAAAAAAGAAACTCTCCATGTAGCATCTTGTCAACTTATAATTAATAATATCCAGACAATAATGAGGAATTCTGATTAACAGTTCATTTAACAATTTAAACAAGAAAAAAAACAAAAACTAAAAGGCTGTTCATGTTGGTTAGATTTAGCTACTTCCTTTATCTAACTTCCTGCCTCACAGATGGATCTTTCTCTCAAATCCACCAGAAATTATTTCAAATAATTTAAAATGAGTTGCTTAGAAGAAATATGGTGAGCCGATTTGAAAACGATAAGAATTTGAAAACTAAAACGGAATTAAAATCAAAGTAAATCAAATAATTTATCATTTAAAAATTTCACAATTGCATATCCAACGTAATTGTACATTTTATTATTTCAAAGTGGGATACTTGATTTTTCCACAAATAAAATGACTCGCGTGGGTCTGCAAAGTTCAGTTTTTATTTTTATCAAAATCTGTATAAACTAAAAATATTTTCCTTCTTTACATGAATATGGTCTTTGTCCTAAAAGGTAAAAATGTAAAAACTGTGTGTATTTTTTAGTTTTGTAATGTCACCTCCACTGGCCAGAAAGGCCACCCTTGAAAAAAACCTGAGATGGCCCATGGGCCACCAGTTGATGCAACAGGTTTTGCAGCTCTGGACACATCTTTAGTGAGCGAAGCAGCAACATTATTATTATTTTTGTTTGTTTTTAATCAAAAAGGTTTCAGAACCCTGGTCTAAATAAAGACTTATGACTTGGTTGGTCATTAAGGATCAGGGCAGATTGGGTCCAGACCGCCTTTGAAAGTGTGTCGAGGCTGTTCGTGCCTGGATTTAGTTCTCACTGCGGCCAGATGTCTGTGCCAGGTGTGAACTGGGTCCAAGACTAGACTCAGAGTCCTAATAGCGCAAGACGTTTTGTGTACAACTTTGGCATCAACTGTTGGAGCCAAGCCTGATTGTCTGTTAGCAAAATATCTTTAAAATTTAATTGGAACTCTTGTAAGTCAATCCGAAGTACATCTTGAAGTGGTTGACTTCTGTAAACCAGTGGTTCTGAAACTTTTTGGGTTCAGGGACCCCCTCATAACCCTCATGTTTATTAATTTTCTTCAATTTGTTTCTTTAATGCAATGGAGATATTTGTGTAACATAAATACTTTAAAACCTGTAGTGTTAATATAATTTTTTTTATACTTTTAACATGGGATATTTTTTCATTTAAGACACTTAAATAACAAAATTTTTCATTTCAATTTTTAAAAATTATAGTTTTGGGAAAACCGTGTATAAAAAAATAAAAAAATAAAGCAACTTTAAAACGTTACCTATACACAATGAACATACTGTATTGCCACTTCAAATTATTACAGAAAACTCTTTACAGAAACTGAACAGAATCCCCCATTGAACCCCCAAGCACCAGCTCGCAGACCCCCGGGGGTCTGGGAACCCCACTGCAGTGTAGACATCTTGGTTTAAGATGACCATAGTTGACTTTAGCCAACACATAAATGGCTATACCTCAAATAATTTAACAGACACTGGGCTAGAATGTGGTGTGGTAGTAGCTGAGAGTCGTTCTCGTGACATGTTGAGGGCTAAATGATGGTTTGAGATCTTATGTTACACATTCCTATAATTCATGCCAACTGTTTGAATTTGCTTCCGCAGGGGGAGGCAGTGAGGTCACGGCTCGTGCGCTCAGTGTGCCAGACCTGAACCAGACTCGGACCCAAACCCTCCCAACTGCTCTTGAAACCGAAGAACGCAGCACCATGGAGCTGGAGATCAGCCAGATCGACCGCATGATCGACGACATGGAGACGAAGGTCAACGTTCTGCGGTGGATGGTGGAGCCCCGCGGGCCTCAGTACACGGACCCTGTCAGCAGCACTGACAGCGCCTCCTTGGCTCTTGTCTCCGTTGAAGAGGACCGGCCCAGATCCAGATCACAGCCCCAGAGTCGCCACATCTTTGTGCTCGTGTTGCTGTTCGCCGTTATTTTAGTGGCAGCCATTTTATCGGTTTGCGTTTTCCTTTTCTCATGAACAAAACCTTTATTTTATTTAAAACATAAAAAAACGGGATAAATTGCAAGCTTTGCATGTACAATAAGTTTTATTTACATAATCGATGAAAAGTTTTTCGAAGCAATTACCTGGTTTGCTATTAGGCCTACGTAGGTTAGGCCTGTTTGTTGAAATGAATTCAAAGCTGCTTTGAAACTAAAGGCCTGATTGCTTAATTAAACTTAAGAAAATGTGGTTCCGTTTATCTTGCATGTTTTTCTGCAAAATTTTTGATTCACAGAAAGAATTTAAACATCTGTTTTGTTCCTTGTTGCCATGGAGATAACATGGATGTTAATTCCTGGTGATTTATTATATTTTCCCCAATTTTCTAGGTTATTTTGTACATGTACTGGCAATTTGATGTTTATCTGCATGCATCATACAGTTGGCAATGGTAATATATAAACCAGTGTTTTCCCATCTCTATCAGTTGCCAAGTACCTTCTTTAGAATTGTATGTGGAATTAGGAACACCATTCATTTTACTATTCTATTAAACCCATTACTTTTCAAAAGCCTTTTCTATGCAGTGGCGTTTTACAATACTAGAACATTTCTATCCTTTAAGATCGGGTGCCTTTCTGGCCCTTAATTACATCTAATAAGTTAATGAACAGATGGTTCCTGATGATAACCACATCTTCAATTCAAAAACACTTTATTAATCCCAAAGGGAAATTAATTTAAAAGTGAAAGGTTCAGTGTGAGTAGCTGTAGCAACATGCTAGGATAATTTAATATTATCCCTGTAGCTCATTAAATAAATATGCCACACAGGAGAGGTAGAACATTTCTTAATCCCTGGTTTAATCTTGCATGACGGAACAGAGTTTGAAATACAAGCAGGTGAGATGTTTACATGACGCTTGGTCTGTTCAAAGAGAGCATGAGGAAGTGTCTTTTTGACAAACTCAGACTCTTACAGCCTCCTTTCTTATTCGGGTGAAAGGATTCATGCTTATGCAGCACTAGGTCCAGTCATAATAACCTTTAACACACGCACACATGGTATATGAATTGTATAACATTTGACAATAAGTGAAAAACATCTGTGACCTTTCACATCTCCATCAACTCCCCCATTTAGTTTTTTATCACTTATCAATAACCCATTCTTGCAAGCTAGGATTCCTTATGCATGCGGTGGAAAATTAATTGATATTAAACAATTAATGTTAAATTAACGTGTTAATTTGAATACGAAGTAAATGACCAAATACATTAAAAAAAAAAACAAATCGAAAGGAGTCAGGACAGTTTAGTATGACAACTTTCATTCATGTGGCAGCCATATTGGATTTTTAGCTCTGGTGGTGCATTCCCTTTACACTCGGAAATCGCACTTTCAAGCTTCAAATCGGGACAAAAAAAAAGGCAACTAAAGTTACTGAATCTAAAAATTAGATGTATTTATTTGGCAATTTGTCACCAACTCCGACTTTAAGTTGTTAATTCCAACTTCGGAAAGCGCTCCAGTTAGCTTTCCTGATCTACAATGCAAAAAAAAAAAAAAAAAATCCGACTTCCAGATATTACGGGAACGCGCCATAAGAGCTTTGCTTTGAAAAGCGTAACCGGAAGTGCAGCAGCATTAAAGTTCCCAGCCGGAAGTAACCTTTGGAAGGACGCTTTGACATGGTACTGAAACATTGTCACTCGCGTTTCTGGATATTTAATTTTAATCACTTAGAGAAACGACATGAAGCTGCTTTTCGTCCAAACAAAGTTAGCTTGTGCGTACAAGAGCTATCAGGCACTAAAAAGGTGGCAGCCATCCACACCTCAAATCTGCGACGTTTGTGCACTCCATCATTTTTAAGCAGCTTCGAGCGGCCGAGATGGAGACGAGCTCCAGGACTGAAGTTAAAAGATAAACTCCCAGATGTGAGACTAAAGGCCATTCGAGGTAAAATAGCTGTTTTGGTCACTGAACCGACTTTTTTTTATTATTATTATTTACTGTCGCACTTTCACGTTGATAGAAATTTTACCTTCAGCTTTTGCTTGAAGTTCCGTTTTTCAAAATAAAAGTTTATTTGTAAAAGTTGGTCAAAGTAGCTCAAAGTGGACAGACGTTTTAAATTTGATGCTGTTGCTCCTATCCTACAGTAATTATGTTCTTTTACGTTAAATAATGGGTTGAGTTGAGTCTTTCAGAATATGTGTTTTATTTTATTTTCAGAGCTAAATACTTCTGTTAAGGCCCTCCAATATGACATAAAACCAGAAGTACCAAAGACTGAAGGCCGGAGGATGTTTTTTGACACTCACGCTGTTGTGAGAATCCTTGAAGACAATGGTTTGTTTGGTTTTTATTATCTGATTCTTAATTGTCATGTTGCATTAGTCATGCTTTTTATTAAATTAGTTTATTTCTTTGCTCAGCAGGTTTCACTCCTCAACAAGCTGAAGTAATTGTTAAGTTGCTACTACGGACAACTAACTCAAATTTGGACATTATTTACAGTGACATGGTAACCAAAGTGCAGCAGGTGAGACTGGATGAGGAAAAAAATACATAATACAATGTTAAAGAGATACTTCGGGTTCTGCAGAAATGATCAACCAAAGAAGTTGTATTTTCTCTAATTGCAATGAATGCAGAGTGATCACACTGAAACTGATTTAAAGCTTAAAGAGCACAACAGTAGCTAAAAGCTAAAAGAAAACATTAGCCTAGTAGCCCAAGTAGTTAAATGCTGGCTAAAACTAGCAAAATATTAGCTTAATGTAGCACACTGATAGCTAAACGAAGTAAAATGCAAGCTAAAATATTAAACTAGCCAAACTCTAAAGACTAAAAATTGCAAAAGATAACTAAAAAGTGGGAAAATGCTCAAAGCTTAAAAGAGTAAAACACCTAAAATGCTAACTACGAAGTCAAAGTAACAACTATTTCAAAGCAAAGCGTAAACTAGCTGTAAGTAGTTAAACGTTCGAAGGTAAAAATAGCAAAATACTAGCTAAAAGGTGCATAAAACTAAAAGTAAAATGCTAGCTAAAAGCCAAACAGCAAAACTCTAGCTTTAAACTATAGGTTGGAAAATGTTAGTAGCTATAAATGCTATCTCAAAGTTATAAGTATCAAGTTTAGTAGCTAGCTAAAAGCAGCAAAAGCCTAGGTAAAAATACAAAGTAGCTACATTCTAGCTTACAAAATCCTAGCTAAAAGCAGCTGATAGTTATCTAAAAGTATAAAAAAAACTACATAGAAACTGAGATTAGCAAAAGGCCGGTTAGAGGCCTAAAGTAGCAGAATGATAGCTAAAGGCTTCCTGATTAACGTTCTGCTCACGCTTTTATTTTCCTAACTGACAGGAAGTTGTTTTAATTGACAGGAAATCGTGTTGCAGCAGGTGATGTCTAAAATAGTAGCGGTGAAGAAGGACATGATCATCCTGGAGAAGAGCGAGTTCTCCGCACTTCTTGCAGAAAATGAGGTAAAATGTTCATCCGGTACTTCAAATTGTTATTTGTGTTTTAATCCTGAGTACTTCTGATGTTTATACTTTGCGTGTATCAAGAATATAAACGTACTGTTCGGGTTTTTGTGGTTAATTATGTTTCTGATCTGAATTTTTTTAAATTATTTCTCCCAGAGACTGAAGATCCATCTACAGCAGCAGAAGGTCCAGTTGGCTGTGTGTGGTTTTTTTTACTTATTTCAATCTATAATCACCGTTTGAATCACCGTTAGGCTTTTTTGATTTATCTTGTTCAATCGCTTATTTATAGACTTTTTATTGATGCTTAATTAACGTTTAGTTCCTGGTTATTTGTTTATTTTTCCTGTCTTGCAGGACGTGATGAATAAAGTGCGCTCAAACAACGTTCTGGACATGAACTCGGAGAAAAGTCGTGTAAAAATAATGGTAAGCGTTAAATTCTACAGCGATAAATCTTTAAAAATACATTTATCATTCGAACAGGTTTAATATTTATTTATTTACATCCAGACTCAAGAGAATAGCTAATAGCAGTTTTTAAATATATATATATATATATATATATATATATATATATATATATATATATTTTTTGTTTTTTTTTTTTTCTGAAAAATGAGTCGGAACAAGGAATTTATTTTGAAATTCTCCGTCTCAGAAGCTTCAAAATGCATGTTTGTTAAAATTTTGTAACTGACCTGGCAATAAGCTGGCTTTGTTTACAAAAGTGCCAGTAACTTTATTTTTATTTTGGAGTGATGCCTTCAGGAATTCCAGCCGTACATTTAAAAGGAGGAATCCCCAAGTTTCATGTTATATGACGGGATTTCCCAGCACTATAGTAGCCAGCAGGGACAAATAGTTTCTTTCAACGGGAGCTGTAAGGGTTATTATACAAGGCAAAGGATTATTTCTGAAGACATACCTGAAATAAATTTAATTTTAAAGGTTGATTATGAAGATTTAATGCTTTTTTTTTAACTCACTGGGATCAATAGATGGTGTCTACGGACTCGTTACACAAATCTCAAAATTTTAATTTATGGCCCTTCCCCCATGGGCTTGACTAGCCGTGACTCCATAGAGTCTTTCCATTGTGGGACACCACCTCCTTCCAGCTTGATTCTGAGAATCTTAGACTGGGTTGGGAGTTTATGCGAGTCGATGTGAAGGTCTGACGCCAGCAGCAGTCCGCAGCACACCGGTTGGACGGAGACGTCGATCACGAGAGCGTTTCCTTCACAGGAATCAAACCGCCATTTTACAAGCCTCGCAGCCGCGGCTTTTGTTTTATTTACCTTTTCAAATGTATGTAAAATAGCCTGTAAAATGGCAACGTGTGAACCAAGGCAAGTTTATGTTGGCCCCGCCCACACGGAGGCGGGGCTCTGTTACATGGGAAACTACTGAGACTTGAGTCGTGCTGGGACTGGATGATGGAGGAGTGGCATTATTTATGTTAATTCGGCAGCTCGGCTCATAAATCTTGTGTGTATAATTTAATTTTTCCACTTGTAGTAAAAAAAAACTGATAAAATAGTGGAATAATCTAGTCTAATAATCTAGTCTAATAATCTAGTCTAACCTAGTCTTCCTTAAAGGAATGCATATCGTCCGTCTCCTTTCACCTGCGTTAGCCCTCGGAGTATGTTTGGAAAATAACTCTCAGCTACGACACCACTCATTTAAACTGACAGAGTTAGCATTAGTTTTCAGACTCGCTTCTCTCAGGAATTTATGTTTTTTATCTTAATTATCTGTAAAATACTTTTTTGTTTGTTTTGTTTGTTTGTTTCAGAAAGCGGAGCACGAGAAGAAGCTTCTGGAAACGAGAACGGAGATCAAGGAAATGGTTTGTAAATGACTAAACCACAAGATGTCGTAGAAAGGTTCCCATTCTGCGTCATGTAGAACAAACGAACGAGCAGAATTCTCCTTATTATAATAATAAAATAATAATAATAATATAGATGCTTGTGGAGCCTCATAGCTTTCAAGCCTGACGTTCAGAGGTTTAATATTTAAGGAAAAATATGTTTTTTCATTCATCCAACATGTTTCAGCTGCAGAGTTTATTTGTTTTCAATCAGCATACCTGAGGCGTTTCCGATTTATTGATTAACGTTGATTTTTTTATTTTTTGTGTGTGTTTTTGCGTCTTCGCTCACACTTGGCATTCACCAGGCTCCTTTATTCTTATTGAACACATAATTTTCCCTCGTTTAAAGTTTTGCAATTTTTCCTGCAGGGAATAAGAAACAAAAATAAAAAGAGACGAGTATGGAACAAGAGATGTGTTTCTTTGACACCATTAATGTGTAAATTAGCTGCAATATATTTTAGATACGTCACTAAAATACAGAATATAAATTTTCACTTTAAATAAGAACGAGTGGAACAGAAGGAGCTCGAAGAACGTCAGACTCTTCTTTATATTAATGAACAGATTGAAGAGGTCTCTGGGGTTAGTTTCTGTTTGTCGTCCTGTTTCAGACGGCGGAGCAGGACGGTCGTCTGACTGAAACCAACATGAAAATCGACACGGAGGTTGCTGGTTTGAAAACCATGTTGGAGGCTCATAAACTGGATACTATAAAGTATCTTGCAGGTGAGACATTTAGACTTTTTATGATCTCAGTTCCTCACTGAAGCCACAAATATTAAATCTGTGAAGTACAGAAATAAACAGGTTATTTTAATATTGAGGCTTTTAAAAACTACTTGGATGCAGCAGGAGGAGCTGGAGTGGGAGGTCTGGGTTTCTCTCCTGGACCTGTGGTCTCTCCGACCTGACTACAGATAAGTTTTAGAAGATGAAGTTGATTTTTACGGTGAATTTTGATTCATTTAATGATTTTTCATTCAAATGTCCTGGAGCGATAACTTAAACTTTCGCTGCATCCTTCTTTTCTCTGCTGGTCTTGATCGCCCGGGAGGCAGTCAGGGACAATAATGTTATTTGTCCATGCGTGCTTGTTCGTTAGCAAAATATCAAAATGCATCATGAGCCACTGGACTGGTTTTAATAAAAAAAAAAAAAATAAATCAGGTAGAAATCTGATGAACGTCTACAAACGATTTAAAGTTTGACTTTAGTCTGATCCAAGATGGCTGCCACAGCCAACTGACCTTTAAAAAAAAATGCTAAAACGGCTAGAAGTCATTGAATTTTACTGATGCTGAGCTCAAATTTAGCGTGGTAGTAGCTGAGAGTCACCCACATCTCATACTCTGAGCATAAGAAACGTGATTTTTAAGATGCGACCCAAACGGCTGCAAAGATGATCAGAGTTCATGTGTGAAACTCGATGTTTTCTCTTTTATTTTTCCCTCCTCCAGGTTCGGTGTTCACCTGCCTCACCGTGGTTCTCGGCTTTTATCGGATCTGGATGTGAATTTGGACCGCTGACCTCACAGCGTCGCTCTTCTTCGTGTTTCATTTGAGGCGTTGGGTGTTTGTTCTTCAAAACTTAGGGGCAGAAAGTTTGGTGCTTTTTTTTTTTTTTTTTACCTGCTGACATTAGAGGAGTGCAGGACTACGTCTGGGTCAGAACAAAACCCGGGAAAAGGTTTTACAAAACCACAAAGAGCTCGGATAATAAAATGGGACGTTGCATTGCTGATTAGCAACACAAGCAGGTTAATATTTTTATTTATTGCCTTAATTTCGCCATTGTATGGAAACACAGTGATGACATCATTATTATTAAATGTATCACGATTAGGTCACTCGTGCAAGTTTTTTAATTGATGGATCTTTTTAATTGTTTTTTTCTGCCCGTCTTTTAAAAAAAGTCTGTTTTAATCGTTGCTTTTATCTAAAGACTTTGAGTTGAAGGTCATGATTTTATTGTGGTAAATGTTTTTATACATAAATACTGAGCTCTCGTGTACTTTTTAAGAAGACTTCCTCGTTAATATTTTTAGCCTAGTTTGTGCTCTGACAATTAGTTCTTGGACCAATTTTATTTATTTTACAAATAAAAGTCCATTCCTGTGATAAAGTCTTGAGCTGCACCTCTTTTCTTCACATTTTACAGACTCGAATGTAAAATTCTCCAGTTGTTTTAGATATTTTAATGTCTTTCCTTCTCCAGTAATGACTTCTTTAAAGTTTCTGACATTTTTCAGTTTAGAGAGTTTCTTCAGGACTTAACTCGATAATTCAGTTTAATATTTACAGACGTAGTGCTGCAGAAAAAAAAACACTCTTTTGCTGCAAAATACAGCTCAAAGAATTTTCCTTCAGCAAAACAATATATTTAAATAATCATTAAAGGTGTTTTCTGTATGATTTCTATAGCACATTTCTAAAGACGGCTAATATTTAGGGATATTTCTTACAAAAACTACTATTAGTTTGGCAACTTCCTGTTCATGTTTGGGACACAAATTTGCATTTAAAATAAATTTAAAAAGATTAATACGCTAATATTCAAGAATTAAAATGATGCATCTAACCTTGGTCCAGCAAATGTTTGTTTAAAATTTGGACAAAAATTTTAGCTAAAAAAAAAAATAATATTCAGGAATACTAAAAACTATATCTAATTTAGACTAAAAATAGTTTTTTTTTATTATCGTTTTTATAAAATGTCCAGGAATATTAAACATCTAAAATTGCTGCCTTTGGACACGAATGTCATTATATATATATATATATATATATATATATATATATATATATATATATATATTAAAACAAAACAACATGCATCTGAAGATTGTTTAGCTTGTGTTTGATATTTTGCATGAATTTTGACTAAATAGTTTAGTTAAAACCAACTTTATGTCCAAGAATTTTAAAGACATGAATCAGAGATTATTTGTTCAAAAGCGTTTGGGCAAAATTTTGGACAAATAAATATACATATTTTTAAAAGAAAGACAAATATGCAGGAATAAGTCACAAAAACAAGCCTTTTTCCAACTTTCTGACTATATTCTGGATATAAAATTAGATTTATGTTAGTTTAAAAATGGCAAAATATCCAGAAAAAAAAAATTACATCCTGTTAGTTATTGTTAGTTTATTTTGAAAAACCATTTGAACCGGAAGTGTCTTACTGTCCGCTCACGTGTGTTTCTTAGGAACGTTTTACAGGTTATCGCTACATACGTGACATTAGGATGCAACATGTGAGTTAATGTTTTATAAAAACGCGAGTTATAAACATTTACCTGTAATTAAACAAACAATTTAAGTCTGTTCGTTTAGCGGCTAAGCTAACAGCTACTGCTAAACATGTAGTCCTGCTTTTTTCAAGATAAATGAGGTTTTATTTTATTTTATTTTTTACCGTGTCTGGTTTGGGCAGTCGAGTTCAACTTTATCTATTTTCTTCAACCAATGTCCTGCGCTGTTCAATAAACGATGTTTCTTTGTTTTTTCAGACATTTTGTTGCGGCTCCTGTTATCATGGCTGATGCGTTCAGTAGCAGCTCGGAAATTGTAATTCAGCGAGTGTCGGAGGTGAAAGTGAAGAAAAACACCCCGCAGGAAGATCTTGAAGAGCTGTATCAGATTAAAAAGACTTGCGAGTTCATTCGAGAGCGTAACTTTGGAAAGGTGGGAACTTAAAATGTTTTTTTAATTTAGATTTTGTTGCTTTTGATGTTAGCATTAAATGAGTTGATATTTCCAGGTTGCTCTGCAGTTCCCTGATGAGCTGCTGGTTGATTCAGTGGCAGTAGCTGAAGAGATTGAGAGAAACAGTCAAGCCAAGATATATATTTTAGGAGACACGTCTTACGGCAGGTAAGAGTTATTTTATAAATTGTTGCACATTTTGTTTATATCATCGGAGTAGCTTTAAGTTACTGAGCAGAATCATATTTTTAACTCTTCTTTCCAGCTGCTGTGTGGATGAAGTCGCAGCCGAACACGTTGGCGCTGATTGTGTTGTACACTACGGCGGCGCCTGCCTCAGCCTCTCCAGAAGACTTCCTGTGAGGTACGTCTTCGAGAGAAGACCGCTGGACGTGGAACTCTGCGCTGCCTCCTTCAGAGATCTTCACCCCGACGCTCAAGCGCTCGTCATCCTCCTCTACGACGTCAACTATTGTCACGCTGTTGGTACGATTCACCATGAAGGCATCGTACGATGAACGCTGAGTCAGCATTCGCACGCTGCTGATCCTGTTTCCCTTTATTCTTTGACTCCTCTTCTGTACGTCTGCGTACTTTGTGCTGTTGTAGCCATCAATACGTCAAAATGTTCGGCTCATCCAGGTACATTTGGCTACGGCTTTTGTATATTTGTCATTTTTTTACTTTTCTAAATATTTTTCCTAATTTACAAAATTATTTCTATATAGAAGTTCATTAAAATGTTTTGAATTCCTTCAAAGAAATCTCAATTTAATACATTTTGGTTGCTTTTACATATTAGGTAGATTATCCCCTTTTAAGCTAGCATTTTGCTACTTTAGCTTTTAGATAATGTTTTGTTAAATATAAATTTTTGCTACTTCTTTTGCTTCAGCTTCTTTAAGTTGAAGCTTTCACACTGAATTTGAGCGAACAACAAAATTTATCCGGTTTATTTTAAATCCTGTCTGGATAAACGGATCGACCGCCCTGCTGTGTTTGGTGGAGATTTGTGAGACGTTACGAGTCACGACCTTTGACCCCATCTTGTCTGTTTTCAGATGATCTTCTGGCGCGTCTCTCGGCAGATTATCCGAACCTCGTGGCCTCGGAGCTCGTTGTGGAAGGGGAGCAGAGCCTCGCTCATGGATTAAAACAAACCGATGACCCCGGCCTCTCAGAAAACCACCGGCTGATCCGTCAGTTCGGACGGCATTTCTCCCTGAAAAGTGGAACAAGCCTAACGGATTACCGGATGTTCTATATTGGCCAGGAGGGGGCGACCTTACGGAACTTCATGATGACGTGGAACCGCTGCTCGTTCTGCTCTTTTGATCCCGTGTCGTCGACGGGGAGGATGGAGTCTGTAAACGTCAACCGCGCTCTGATGAAGCGGTACTACGCCATAGAACGGGCCAAAGACGCCGGCGTGGTGGGCATCCTGGTGGGCACGCTGGGCGTGGCCGACTACCTCGCCGTCATTCAGCAGCTGAAGGAGACGATCCACCGGGCCGGGAAGAGGAGCTACGTGTTCGCCATGGGGAAGCTGAACGTGCCGAAGCTCGCCAACTTCCTGGAGATCGACGTGTTCGTGCTCGTGGCGTGTCCCGAGAACTCGCTGCTGGACTCGGGGGAGTTCTTCAAACCCGTGGTGACGCCGTTCGAGATGGAGGTGGCCTGCAACAGGAAGAGGGAGTGGTCCGAAGAGTACGTCACGGACTTTCGACACCTCCTGCCAGGTAGAGTTGCATTCAGGCCCAAAAAATCCGACCCACCCCAGCCCGTAGCCATAATTTTTTAACCCCATCCGACCCGACAAATTAACAGGAATTACAGGTCTGGACACCCCCCGCCCTCCCCCCGGATAATTTTAATTGAGCTTTGACCTCTTATATAGTTATTAACAGTCGGACGCGTGCGGCCGAAAAGGGGCAGAAGATCAGAGCTGAGGGGGGTGTTTGTCCTTTCGTGGCTGTCAAAGCACATTAAATCCCTGCTTCTGCATCATTCAGACATGGACCCTGCTCCGACATGTCTGCTTTGGGTTCTAACCTGTTTGGGTCATGCGACCGCTGATTCCAGCTGCTGAACGTCCATTTGGGTGATGGATCGCTTCCTGGCAGTTTGGGGAGTCCCATCTGAAGCTTAACTGAACTTTATTTTATCTGCCGGTGCAGCTGTGATTGTATGACAAGCCAAGTTGCCATATAATTGGAAAGTATGGCAAGCCACGTTGCCATATAATTGGATTGCCAGCCACGCGAGTCTGCTGATGCAATCAAAAGCCCGACATCGACCCGGCCTGCCCATCCAGCAGATTATTATGGCTCGGTCCGGCCCAAATTCGGGCCAGGCCGGGCTTCGGGCCCGGGTTATAAATGACAGCTCTACTGCCGGGTCCGATGGTCACATTGAAAACTTTTGTTTTCTCATTAACGTGTAAACTCCAATTAAAGATGGCCGCCACAGCCAACTGACTTTGACACAAACACGGTTACAACTTAGTCGGTTTTACAGACGCTGAGCTAACGTTAGGCGTGGTAGTAGCTGAGAGTCATTCCTAAGACACTCTTTGAAAGTTTACAGATTGCTTGAGATTTTCCAAGATTCAGTCCAAACTGTTTGTCATTTTTCAAAATAAGATTTTAGTTCATGCCTGTGGCGTTAAAGTCGTTATTTCTAATGGAGGCACCTTTTTTTTTTTAAATAAATATTTGGACACAATTTCACTTCCAGTATGTTTGTTTATTTATGGCAGAATATTTGGGGCACGCAGGAGAAAACAAATGTTGAGAATTTAATTTTTTTTTTTTTTAGTTTTGGGATAAATGTAGAAATCAGGAGGGGAAGAAACTGTTTCAAGTGAATCTCGTTCTTTTATTCTCGTATAGCTGCGGATCATTAACTTTTACTGGATAAACTACAAAATCCCCTTCAATCTTTCAGAATAAGAGACTCATTGTTGATCTTCAAATTATACATTTTTAAAAGTATTTTCTCTAAAATGTTCTGTACACTGCAGCTTAGACTGCTGGGACTTCAGTAATTTTCAGATTGTGTGCAGATGTAAGATAAAGTGTTTGCTAAAAGTTTATTTTTATCTGTTCTGAAGAATAAAATTGCTAATTTGGCAAAAAAAAAAGCTCTTTTAATCTTAGAGATTAGAAACTATAAATAATCATCATCATTTGAGCAACTCTAATACAAATATTGGTTTTAATGGACCAAAAACATTAAATATGTAACTTATTTTGTTTGAGTTAATAAAAATCTTTTCCACAGGCGGTCGGAGTCACGTTCCTTTGTCTGATGAGCAGAATGACGATGAGACGGATGTTTCTTTGATCACTGGAGCTCTGCGAAGCCAGAACCTGAACCGTGACCCTGCAGAGAACTCATCAGGATCCTCCGTGGTCCTCAGGAACCAGACTCTGACTGTAGCCAACACAAACTCAGCAGGTACGACACAAACGCTCGTTACAGTCATTAAATATGGATTTATTGTGAATTTAGCATGAATACAGCCGAGTTGTTTTACATGTTGAGGGGTAGCCAGGATAGAAAATTACATGTATTAAACCAAGGGTCCCCATCCACTGGGCCAAGGACCGATATCTTGTATCATTTGGTACAGGTCCACACACAAATAGAAATACCACATCTCTTAAAAATCCCATATAAATACTTTACATACATCAGTCTGCAAAGTCGTTTATCTTAGCGTGTTCGTTTGCACTTTCTGCACATAATTCAGGTATTTTTCATGTTCGAGCAAACCTGCAAGCTAACATGAGTACATCGATCCCTCCATTATCTTTAGCCACTTTTTACATTTTCGGATCACTGGTGCCCATGTCCAGCAGTCACTGTGTGAGAGGCGGGGGACACCCTGGACAGGTCTCCAGTCCATCACAGGGACACATGGAGACAAACGAGACACTCTCTCTCTCGCCTAGGGACAATTTAGAGTTACCAATCTGCCTAACATGCATGTTTTTGGTCTGTGGGAGGAAACCGGGAGTAACCGGAGAAAACCCACGCATGCACGGAGAGAACATGCAAACTCCACCCAGAAAGGCCCCTGGACCGGGATTTGAACCGGCGACCTTCTCATTGAGAGGCGGCAGCTCTATCAATCTGAGCCACCGTGCCTCTTGTATTAAATTGGTTCATGAAATAATTTTAGGGGGAAAATCTTGTCAGTCTGGCAAATTAAAAGAAAAAATAATTTTAAGTTAATTTATAATCTGCAAAAGACTTTCTGTGCAAAAACTTAAAAAAATATATTGGACTGTGTACATTTACCAAGGTCACGTACGCGGTATACTGTACTTTTACCAAGGCCATGTACATAGTATACTGTGTACTTTACCAAGGCCACATACATAGTATACTGTGTACATTTACCAAGGTCACATACGCGGTATACTGTGTACTTTTAACCAAGGCCACGTACACATTGTAATGTGTATTTTTAACAAGGCCACATACACAGTATACTGTGTACTTTTACCAAGGTTGCATACACAGTATACTGTGTACTTTTACCAAGGTTGCATACACAGTATACTGTGTCCTTTCACCAAGATCATGTACACAGTACACTGTGTACTTTTACTAAGATCATGTACACAGTACAACCTCTAGGTGTAGAAAATATTCAGTCAGGAGATTTTTTCAGATTTAATCCCTGCAAGTAAAATGTAACTCTGCCCAACGCGTCGTTGGGAAGTTGTCTTTCATGAAACTGGTCTGTGGTGCAGAAGCAGTTGGGCGGCTGTATCAAACTGTATTTTTGGCCTCGTGGTTTTTCCAGCCTCCTTCCTAGCGGCTCGGAGCTGGCGGGGCCTGGAGCAGAAACTGGGGGAGACGCCGGTCGTGAAGGCGGTGGAGGGCAGGAGAGGCATCGCCATCGCCTACGAGGAAGAAGGAGCATCGTGATAATTCATCAGATTATTTAAAACTGCATCTAAAAACTAGACGCTGAACCAAAGTATTAAAGATTTCCTTAATTTAAAAACAGGTTTGGTTTTAATTTTTTTTTATCACCATAACTTGTTTAGGCGAAAGTATTTACAGGAGTTACTGTCCGTTCACAGGAAGTTCCTCCACGAAAGCTGCAGGAAATATACCGGTGTTCCCATTACACTGCCCCTCCAACCAGTCCTGGTTCACTGAGGTGGGGGGAGAAACGGTTTAGAATCACGTATGGGGAATAAATGACCTTAAATTTCTAAATATACCTCTGGAGAGAAGCTTGATGGTGTCACCCTGCTGAAAGTTCAGATCCTCTGGGTTCGATGACTTGTAGGAGTGAAGTGCCATGAACCGGATCTCTTTCTGTGGCTAAAAATATAAACTTTAGGAAAAAAAATAACAAAAACTACATATTTTACTAAAACCTGATGGCTTGAGATGTGCTCCCTTTTAGACATTTCTTATTTAGCCTCTGTTAGCAAAATATGAGTCATTGATTTAGTTTGTTGGTTAAAACTTTGGCATGCAAGGCAGCGGGCGAAAATAAAAAATGTCATACTGGGTCAATTTGTTTTAATGGCAAGTTCTGTGGAACAAAAATGGTTAAATCATGTCATCTGGACCTGTTTCTTTAAAATGTTAACAGTGTCTTACCTGTTGCAGATAGCTGTTTAGTGATATAACGTAATTCTGACAGATTTGATGAGCTAACAGCTAGTCTTGCTTCCTGCAGGGAAAATTATTTAATAATAATATTTTTGCTCGAATGATCGTGTATATTCTGAAACTGACGGATATAAATGTTTAAACCTATTAAACAAACAAGTTATTTCATAGGTTTAAACAAGCTAATGGCTAGTCCGAGCGAGACCAAGATTAATGTGGACTGCTGCCGTCTTGAAGGTTTTCAGTGCAAACTTAAAAAAATCAAACGTAAATTTATTTTTCTTAACTACCGTACTTGCCGCCGTACACGTCGCGCCGCCGTATAAGTCGCATCTATTAGGCGTCACCGCTGGCGGGACGTGTTTGTTATGCGATACCGCTGACCACTCGGAAATGTGGGCCGGTGTTGTGCCAAAAATCGATTAGCTGCCAAATGGCAGCCGGGGGAGCGTGCACAGGAGGACTTCAACAAGATAACCTCCTAAAAACAGTTATTTGTTTGCTTGACGTTATAGTAAAGGTGTGTCTCAGTTTAACTTTTCCTTAATAAATGGTCAAATCAGCTGCAGGTCGCCTGGGCGTCGTGGCGAAATGCAGCTTATTTGACGTTTGCTCCAGGAGTTCCGGAGCGAGACGAAGGTGGCATGGTATGGTAAGCCAAGTGTCTCATTAATAGCCACTTTTACCTATTAATGACACACTTGGCTTGCCATATTACTCAACTGCCCTCTAGTGGCTGAAAATGGTAGTGTTCAATATTTTCCATGTCAGAATTAATGAAATCGTCAGATCTCAGCCAAAAATTGGGTTATAAATATGAGAAAAAAAACATATATAAGTCGCTTCGCTGTATAAGTCGCAGGGCATGCTAATTTATGCAAAAAGTGCGACTTAAACAGCAAAAAAATACGGTATATCAAATGGTGCCATTTGATAGTGTTTACGCTGGTTGTTCATTTAATTTTGAAGTGCGGGCATGCGCTCATTGTAAACAAAGCACTTTTCTCAGCAAATCTAAGTGTAAATACATCAAACTTGTCTCCACCCTAATGGATTTTCTGTAAACATCACGTCAGCTGTTTCAGTAGGTAAACAAACTGCACTTTTTTTAAACAGAAAAAATATTGTGTGGATTTCGTTTCTTTATGAATTTTCCTGACCAGTAACTTTTCGTCGAGTCTTAAAAGCAACGCCACTAAAATAATTTCACCGAGCTTCAGGAAATAAGCAGCGTTTCTGCAAACTGAGGTAGCTCGCAGAGCGATCCACAGCAGGTAAGATACTTGTTCATAAGCTTTCCACTGAACCTCACTTCAACATTTATTCACTGTTAGCATTGCAGTTTTAAGGTGCCTTTTATTTAAGAGTCTTGGCGTTTCAGTCAATGGAAACATTCTTTTTAAATTTTCTTTAAAAATTAGCAAACATTAATGTAAAAATAGATGAGCTGATTTTTACCTCTTTGGTGTTGCACCACAGCGTGATGCGTCCTCCAGCGGCCTGGCTCCACAGATCTGTGTTGGCATCGATGAGTTGCTTCCCACTCGAGTCTAAGCTGAAATTAAAAGAAAATAAGCTCGAGTAGAAAAACGGTAAACTACACCGGTGGTAATTTAAATGTACCTTAAGCAGATGGTGGCAGGAGGGAGATTCAGCTTCTTGCTGATCTTCCCCATCAGGATCACATGGGGAGACCCGGAAGGTACAGAGACGATGAAGTTGAAGGTGAAATGGATTTTAATGTGGCATGAATTATCTTTTGGCTGTTCCATCTGATATTAAGAGAGACACACGGTGGATGTTAAGTCACATCGATCGAACATTTTAACTTCATGAAACGCAGCGTGCACGGACCTTCTGCTGAGTTCTTCCATTTCTCTCACCTGGAGTAAGACCTGACAGGACGTAAATCAAATGAGGATTGGGAACACTGTTCTATGGTAAACAAGAAAATTGGTGTGTGTGTGGGAATCTACCTTGAATCCTCTCAGGTCTGGTTGGTGGTTCTCGACTCAGAGGTCTGGCTAAACTCTGAAGGTCATTTCCATTCAAAACACACAAAAATGTTAAGTTTTTGAGAGAAGTTTAATTAAAAAAAATGCAATAAATGCACAATGCCAGTCAAACGTTTGGACAATGTTATGAATAAAACCTTTTAGATATGTTTGAACAAGAAGTAACTCGTACAAATTTCAAATTAAAAGCGTTACCTTGTTTTGTTTAGAGGCCACTGAGATTTCCAAGCGTTCGAGGTAATTGTAAGGAACAAGTCCCCTCTGTAATGGACATCACACTCGTCAATATCACTTCAAATCAGAATAAAAATAGAAAAATACTGAAGAAAGTTTGATAAGTTTCAATACAGCTACATTCTTCTGACTTATTTTCAAGAGTATCGACAACTCCAGGTTAAAATCTCAACCTGTTTGCCCTTTAGGGTTTTAAAGATTTAAGATTTTTTAAATTAAATTGTCCTTAATGTTGACAAACACTATAATTCTACAGGATTCTGGGAGGCAGCCATGATGGAATGATACAACAAAGGAGAACCTGCACAACATTTAAATGGATCTTAGTCCAGCACATGTTGGCAACACATGTTTTCTCTCTATTCTTCTAAAAGTTGTTTGAGAAACGTGAAAACTCCTTATTTTTTAAAAAATCTACGTTTATTACATTTTTTACGGAAGGACTTCTGGGGCCATGACATCGGTTGTAGTGGAGACTAAAGCACAGGGAGTCGAGGCTGTAAAGTTATAACGTGACAAACTTTTATTTTGTATTAGTTCTTATGTACAATATGGGTTGAAACGATCAAAGGGTGATAAACTTGTGGTTTTTAATTTATTAGCTCTGCAGTTGATGCTATATATAAATTAGCTCTGAAGCAAATGTATTAGCTTTTGAACTTATTCTTATTATTTGGTCTGGAGTTAACGTCATCTATGTATTAGTTCTGCCAAAAAACAAACATTCAAGCTAAATGGAGCTCGCACTGGGACAATCTGTCTATATAATTTACCCAGAATGCATTGCAATGTAAAAAACTATGACGACGTTCGTGTGTCATAAATTTTTTAAAACTTAACCTACAGTATGTTTACGATCTTGTTTTTATAGCTGAAGCGATTCTTTATTAAATTAGGTCTATTTTTCCAACCAGTTGGAGATCCCTTTTAAGATTCAGGGACCCAGAATCTGCTGAGTCATTGGTTACCGTGGTGATTCCCGCTTCTTTTGTGGGGCAGGAGGAAGAAGGGGAGCTACACCTACAAGCAGTGACCCAGACTCTTGACAATTACTGTTGCCATAGTGATTCCCGCCTTTTCTGGGGCACCGAGGGAGGAGGCGGAGCTACAACCAGAACTAGACAAAAGCTATCAACTAGTATCATTCTTGAACTGTTGCCGGCAGGAGGTTCTGTTGATCACTCGTAAATTTTAATCAGTCTAAATTGTTTTTTGTCTGTAATATGATATAAAAAATAACCTTCTAGTTTGAAGATCTATATTTTTAACTGAAATAAAATGATCAAAATGATCTAAAAAAGTTAAGTCTGGTCCTCAGACTTTTTTTTTTATTTTTCTACCTGGATTATTGAGCATGCATCAGGATATGAAATAAAATGAGTGTTTGGGTGTGTGCAAACTTATTCACATAACAGTGAGGGGTTAAAGAAAAATTAAAAAAATACTACTGGTAGTTTTATGCATATTTGTATGTAAAAAAGGACTAAGAGGAATTTGACTGGAACAAAATTTGGCAAGTTTAACATCATTACACTCCTAATGTAAACATTCTGTCAGAAAAATGTCCAAAAATCCAAAAGCTTCAACCATCTGTGCAAAAATTATATATATAAAGTTCAACTCTAAATGTTACAGTAACATTACAAGTTTTCAGGCTTACCCTTTCGTTGAAGACCACGTACGCCCAGTTGTCAGCTCCCTTCTGCAACACGAACACGATGTTGCCCGGCACTACGGCCAACTCGTCATTGGTCTCAGGATCAAACTCAAACAGCACGGTGTGGGGCTCTCCTTTTAAAGCTCTGAGAAACCAACATGTCCACAAGGTCAAATCTAACAAAAAACAGCTATTCAACAATGAAACCACAGGATGCTGGGTGTTTAGCATTAGCTCAGCCTTAAAGGTTTACCTCAGAACCTCAGGTTCTTTTGGAGTAGCTGGACCACCTTCAACCTGAACATCAAACATTCAGTTAATCGTTAATCAGTTCCCTGTTCTATATTTTAAATGAAATGAAACACAGGACGATTGATTTTCAGTTACCTGTGGCTGTAACGGTGCAAATCCAGAGAATTCATCCTGAGGAACCACGGAAGCAACAACCTGACGATGACATGAAGTGAATGTAGGTACCTTCTACAGATAAATTCATTGGTAATAAAACATGAATCTTTCCATAATAAAAGCTACCTTAGCTTTGCCCAGGTAGTCCTTTTTCTCCAGCTCAGCGACGTAGTGCTTGTTTGGTTTGAACATCATCTTCGAAGGGAACTCGACGAGTTTGAAAAGCTTTTGTTTCTGTCACAAAAATTTAATCACAAGGATTAATTAAATTATTTCTTGTGCATTTTGTGCATTTTACATCTTGAGCAGGCAGGAGCACATCAACGTAAATGGGGCTAAAAAAGTTCTGTTTACAATGACTAAAACTACATGTGTGCACTGCAGTTATTAGATTAAATTATAGTGAATATTTAAATACATGTTGGTCATTTGGATTCTAACCGACCAGAGTGGACTGCAGAGCTCTGTCGATGATGCCGAGCTTGGTCTCAGTCTTGTAGTCGAGCGCCTTGACGAGGTTCTCCTGAGCCTTTTCCCAGTTTCCCTGCTGAGCTTCAGCCAGGGCCACATTATGGAGGACCTGCAGCAGGAAGTGATGTAATGAGACTGATTTAGACGTTTGTCAGTAATGTAATCAAGTCCTTGACGTTACTAAATGGAATTGAAAACAAGAAAAATTCTGAAGAAATTCCACGTTAGTTGAAGTTTCTGATGGTCATATGTGTCCATTTTTCTTTCTAGTGTTTTATGGAGGAGATATGACAAAATAAAAGAGCTCTGGTTTGCAGAGGAAACGTAAAGCTCAGACACAGTGGAAGTCAATGAGAGTTTTGGTGTGTGCACTTTGCACTTTGAAGGCGATTTGAGAAACAATTATCTACCGCAGTGAGACACCGTGGGTGAAGGAGGACAACACGGCGCACCTTATGATTAAACCGTGTGAAGAAGTGTCAAAGTTTGAATACTCTGTAGTAAAATTTCCACAAATTCACAAAATACAAACTGCAATTGTGTTTAAAAAACAAGTTAAAGATCTCAAACCTCTAATTCAGTCACGTAAAGTTCAACATCCTGCGACCCGTTTAAACTATGAATGATGTTTCTATGGTGTTTTTATTTTTAATGTTTCAGGACTATTCAACTAATTACTCACGGGGCCACAGTTACTGAAAGACAAGCGCTCAGGGGTCAGACATCCAGCAGTTATTGTCATTAAGTAAGTATTTTACTGTTTAAAATCTAGATTTATTTAAAAATGAACCCATTGGTGGGCCGAACTGAGCTCTCCCGAGGGCTTGATTTGGCCCCCGGACCGCCAGTTGAATAGCCCCGTTTTATGGTGTGATATTACATAAATTCATTTAGCACACAATTCGATTGAGTCGCATGTTTTAATGCATTCTTCACCTGGGTTTTTGCTAAGATGCGGAAAAACAACTTAAAACTTACAAAAATGTTTAGCCTAAATCCCATCATATTCTATGGGGAAAGTATCTGTCATTCCACTAAAAGTTCCAACTCTATAAAGCTGCAGTGTGTAAAATTGTGAAGGAGGTGCAAGTTTTAAATGATGCAAAAGAGGAAAAGTGACTTATTTTTTTAACTGAATAGATGATAGAGGTGCTGAACTCTTACCTCACAGGCGTAGAGGATGTATCTGAGACCAAGAGCTTTGTAATCTATCAGCTGGTTGCCCCTCAGGGCCTTAAAGGCTCTCTGGAAATCGGCCGAACTCTCCTCGTACCTTCAAACCAGGAGAAACTGAGAAAATTATTTGTTGCACATCATAAACCAAAATGCATGATTAGTTCACTGCATTGTTTAGGGAGCAGGCTTGGACGCAGCTCGCCTTTTCTTTTTGTAGAAGGTGATTCCTCTTTGAAAGAAGGCGACCGCCAGATGCTCATCCTTGCGTATGCTGCAATCAAACGCCTGAGAAACAACGGAAAACAGCAACTTCCTCTAAAACAACAGAAAGGTGGTACTTCTTCTTTCACGGTGACTTGCACTTTACAAAAGCGGGTTTCACCTCAGCCTTATCGGCAGAGTCCAGACGATTTTCCTCACAGAGGCACACAGTTAATTGAAAACATCACAGTCTTTTATTGTCGTCCAGACGTACCTTTTCTGCAGCATCCAGGTCCTGGTCCAGAAGCTGAAGGCAGCCGATGTTGAAACAGATTTTGGAGATTGGCTCTTGGATGGACAGGAAAATCCTGAGTGCTTCTGACCATTCCTGCCTGTTGGCGCAGGTTACGGCTTCGTCCCACTGTCTCAGAGTGTCCACAAAAGACATGTTCTCTGCCTGCTGCTTCACTGAGACTGAATTAGGGAAGTTCTTCTGATTTGTACCAGATAAACCAGGAAGTATGACTGTTGAGCATCTTCCTGCTCTCTACAGTCTTTTCAGCAAGCTCTTTAAATTCTACTTTTAACTCCATCGTTGTCTGTTTATAAACAGTAAATAAACGCAAAAGCAATACGTTTTAAACCTAAATGAGGATAAAACCAAAAATTTTACAAGTTAGTCCTAAGAATATTAGAGAGAACTGCTTTTAATCACCAAATCTGAGGTCACAAGTCTGGGTTTGTTTAAGATTTGAGCATCTGATCCCTCAGAGTTTTACAAATGAAATTTTGTCACATCAGCTGTGTGTCAGGGATTCATAATTCTGTTTATTACACCCAGAAGTTTTGTAATACGTGTGCACTACTTGTTCATATAATAGAAAAAAATCATTTAAAGCTTGACACATTTTTTTTTTACCTTACTTTATATTATGTAATTAATTACGGTATTTAAAAAGTGATCTTTTTATTACTTTTTCTGTGCAGATGTACATATTTTAGCCTATGTGAAATGTTGGGTGTCGCATATTATCTTATATGTTGAATCCCTGATGTAAATATATAATTTTGTTTTGCAATAATAAAAGTACTGATTGTTTTCCGTTTTCTAAGACAAATTACTTTTGTGACTTTTGTTTATAGCATTTAAAGCTGCATTAATTTCTGTGAAACGTGTTGGAAAAAAAAAAAGAATGAATAAATAAACAAATAAGATCGCTTTGATATAATTTGACTTTTGGACTTTGCTTGGACAAGGGTAGTATTAAAAATGTGTACTTTATAATAATTCAGTATAATATGAACAATTAAAATCAATAAATTATTTAAGTATAAGTAATGTACATTTTATTATTGTTAAAATTGACATGATTATTTTAAAATTTCACAAGGCATCTTTGAGAACTTTCAACGCTACTTCCGGTCTGTTCCCTTAAAAATAAAAGTCTTCTGATTGAGCAGTGGTCGTTACTTACAAAATATTAAACCTTTTATTACAAAATATTGCACAGAGTATTTATTTATATGTTGCATAAGGATTAAATTAGCATACTCCTAAAAATAAGACATTTCTTTTCGTTTTTAAATAGACTGTGATCATATTTTGAAAAAGTAATATTTTTCCTGTAGCTCGTTGCTAGCCAAACAAACATGGCTCAGCTACTTTACCAGACAGCGGATCTTTACGATACGTAGAACAAATGCAAAAATAAGATATGCCAAACTTAATATAAAAAAAAATCATGCCATGTTTAATATGAGTAGATAAAAAGTAGCTACCAAACTTATTTTGTTAGCTCTGAGCACCGTTTTTGTTCCCGTGTTGCATACGGCTAACTCCACGGTCGGCTAACACAAGCTAACAAGATGAACCTTGGATCAATGCTGTACAAGAATTTAAAAGATGTTACATGGAGCTCGACGTCTTTGCCTTTAGATCAGCTCGTCAGTGCTTATAAACTGCCACAGATTGTCAAGCTGGATAACGGCAAGTAGCTGTGTTGTAATGCTAAGTTTGTTAGCACGTTAGCGCTAGCTGAAGCTCAGCTGACAAATATTTGCTCGTTTCTGTCGCTAGTTTGAGTTTGCGCTGCCTTTTTTGTTCACAATACATTTTCACGGCTTTCTTTAATAATCAAAGGATCGTATCTGCATGAAAAACCGCACATAATTTCAGCACACTAACTTTATTATGTGTGCATTATAATAAATGCACGTGTTGTCACTTTGTATACATCCGCAGAGTAAACAGTTCAGGAAACACTTGTTTAATATTAATTCATTTTAGCTACTTTAAGATGTGTTTTTGTCCATGTCTAAGAATATATTATACTGTTTAACGAAATGACAGTCGCAGTTCATGGATTAATAGACACTTTAATAGATTAATTAGTGTTAATTGCAAAATAAAATGTTTATAGACATGTTTCAGTGTAAGAGTTAAATTATTAATAAACACAGTGCTGTTAGGATTGAGCATATGGATCTAAGTGAAGAAGCCTCAATTATACTAGTAATTATTTTTAGAGTTTATTTACATTTTGTGATTTTACTAGTGGTGTTCTTGGTGTAAACGGAGTTCCTAGAAGTTGCTTTTAGTATTTTCTAGGTTTTAAGTTTGGAAAAGGGAAAGCAGATTCTGTTCAGATTCTTTAGACAAACAAATCAAATATTGGTTAGAGGATTTACATTTACACCAGATTACCTTTCAAAGCCAAGATGGTCACCACGGCTATCTTTTGAAATACAATGATGGCTACAACTTGGTGAATGTGAGATTTTTAGCTAAAATTTGGCATGGTAGTAGCCGCGACCATCATTCTTAACTTGTACTTGGAGCACTAAAACATACTCTTTCTTACACAAGTTTGCCTCCTTAAAATGTTTACAAATTCTCTGTTCATCAAAAGATAAAAGTTCAAATATGTGCTATCATTTGTCTAATTTTACACAGTTTGACAGTCACAAGATACCCTGATTTGTCTGTTAAACTCTGAGCTAGATGTACAAAATAAAGCTCATAAATCAAATTTGAACCCTGTGATAAGAACCAGACTTAGTACAAAATCAGACAATCATCTATTAATATTTTGTGTATAGTTCGTATTTATAATTGGATGTCAAAAATGGTCCAAAAATCAAAATAAAGTTGTAAAACTGAGCCTGAATAGGTCTGGATTATAAATAATGAATGTGTAGTAACCATGAACCCTTTGCTGAGTGGAGTGTGCCGCATAAAAATAGAAACACTTGTATAAGTCGTGCTTATTGATTGTTAGGTTGGTGTCAGCATCCTTTACGAATCAGGCCATAAATTAAAGACTCCAGATATCTTTGGCATTTTTCTTAGCCAGACAAACTAACTGAATCACATGAGGCTTGGTTTGACATTTGATGGTTTTGTAAATGTTTGTTCATGTGGTTTGTGCAGGTCAGTTGGTGGAAGGGCTCAGGGACAACGACTACCTCTTGATTCATTCCTGCCGTCAGTGGACAACCATCACCGCTCACAGCCTGGAGGAGGGACACTACGTGATTGGGCCCAAAATAGAGATCCCTGTTCATTATGAAGGTAAGCTCCAGCTAATAAAGATGTTGTGACCCCTGTTCTCTGAATATAAACTTATAAAAGTCAAAGCAAAGCTAATCATCCAACTCCTATGGGTTGGTGGCACATTCTAGTTGCACTGAAATGTTTCTTTTTCCTTTCTTTTAGGTCAGTTTAAGCTGCTGGAGCAGGACAGAGATGTCAAGGAGCCTGTGCAGTATTTCAACAGTGTGGAGGAAGTGGCCAAAGCGTTTCCTGAGAGGGTGTACGTCATGGAGGAAATCACTTTTAATGTTAAGGTGCAGTAAATCCTTCTGATAGGTTGGATAGTTTGTGATACTGGACATAAATACCAGTTCTATCAATATATTTACTACAGTTTAACCCGTAAAAAGAGAGCTCAGATCTTTGGAAGTTGTTGTTTTTTTGTGGTAATGTTGCAAACATCTTACATGTTGAAAAACACCAGCTTGAAGACAATTTAATTCTGACCAGATTAGAACAAAGTGGATGGCTGTGGTCATTAAATCATTTGTTCACACAAAATAGTTTAAAAAACCTTTAAATCATTGTCAATTAAGCATTACTTGGTCAATTATATGCATTTATATGGTTATTTAGACGTAAATAGCAGCAAAAGTAGCGATACTAGAATTTTGGGTACATCCAGGGGTCACACCTGGCAGCAATTTTTTAATATTTCTGACAGAAGAACAATATAATGTAAAACTGGTGATAACACAACGCTTAAATCATATTGTTTGCACAAATAATTGGAAGTCTGGAGCTGTTTCAAGACGGCAGCAGTCTACTTTGGAAGTAGCTCCGTTGGTACCTACCATCAGTGCGATCGTCCCAATGTAGTTTTTGTGAGTATAAAGTAATATCAGACAACTCTAGAATACTTCAATTGACAAAACCAAATTGAGACTAATTGGAGACAAACATTTAATGAGAATCCATTGAGACACTTTGACTAAATTGCATAATAATTTAGATTATAAATTTGCAAGTCGCATGAACAAAAACAAGGTATGAATTTTAAAACTTGGTTATGGAATTGCGGCTGCACGGCTCACTGGTCATTTGGTCCCAAACACTCTGCAATACTGCAATAAAAATATTTCATTTTCCTTGAGTTGCCACCTCGTCTCCAACAGTTGCAGTTTAGCGAGGTGCTATCTTTACAGAGTTGTTGGGAACGCCTCAAACTGTTCTCAGTTTAGTTTCCATAATTCTAGAGCATTAAAGTCGTGCGTTTTGACGACATTTGCAAAGTTCCATCAAATTTAGTCCCAAATTTCACTGGAAGTTTGGGCGATTTGTTATTTTGTGTGATTTCGGGTGACAATTATGTATTTTCCTTCAGTTTTGTCACAACTCAGTGACCTTAACAGCTCGGTTACATCCGGTTTATTTACACTATTTATATTTATCATTATAGATGGCTTCAGGGCAATGCAACGAAGACACAGAAGTTTACAGCATAACACTAAGCACTGGCGACGAGCTGACGCTAATGGGCCAAGCTGAGCTCCTCTATGCCAAGAGCTCCAAGGAAAAATCAAGACTCAACACAATTTTTAAGAAGATCGGCAAGCTGAACTCAATCAGTAAGATCGGTCGAGGCAAGATGCCCTGCTTGATCTGCATGAACCATCGCACGAACGAGAGCCTCAGCCTGCCTTTCCAGTGCAAAGGCCGCTTTAGCACCTGCAGCCCGCTGGAGCTTCAGATGCAGGACGGCGAGCACGTCATCAGGAACATCGTGGAGAAAACCCGACTCCCAGTCAACGTTATCGTACCCAGCACTCCGCCTCGCAACCAGTACGACCTCCACCTCATTCGGGAGGGTCATCGATACAAACTTGTGAACATCCAGACCAAGACGGTGGTTGTGTGCTGCATTCTGCGGAGCAACAAGATCATCCCCGTCCATTTCCCCTTTTACATGGCCATGCCGAGATTTATCATCCCGGAGGAGCTGGTGCAGGGCGAGCTGTGGTTAGACACCATGGTACACCGCTGGTTCTCCTTCTGCCAGGAGCAGTTCGATATAGACGATTACTCCCGTGCCGTACGGGACGTGCGGACGGACTGGAACGATGATATCAAAAGCCCCAAGAAAACCAGTGGCAATGGTAATTGTGGTGGAGGCAGCAACGGCTCCATCGTGTGTCCCAACCACATGCAGATCCCCAGCTCCTTAACGTACGCTCGAGATGAACTCGCGCAGTCCTTCCACCGACTGTCGGTGTGCGTTTACAGCAGCAACCTTCACGGGAACAGCGAAGTCAACTTGCAGGGATGCATGACACTGTGTGCAGACTGGGCTCCTCTGGGTTCGGATGGCAGTCATTCAGAACCTGGAGAGAACGAGCACTTGTTTCCGGATCATCTAGACAGCACAACCCAACATCCATACATGAACAAGCTGGACATTCAGTACGAGGAGGTGTGGTTGGATCACTTGACCGGGCAGAGCTCTAAACCCTATCCCAGTGAAGGAATAAGAGACGTCAACAATGACTGCGCTACACCAGCTGCACACTTGTACCCGGTCACCTGTCCTCTTGGTGCCATAACCAGTCTAGACGCGCCTCTTACTCCACCACCCGTCCCACCCAAATCTGAAGCTGTGAGTATATTCCACCACAATTAACCTTTATAAAACATCTTCCAACAAGAATCAAACTGCTTTTCCTCTTGTTCAGTTTTTTACAACTTTCAAAGCAGTGAAACCTCCACAAGTGATATATATTTGTCAAAATATTACTTTTACTTTTTCTATGTCGCAGCAGTTCATAAACTTTTCAGCACCAACTTCCATTTTGGTATGTGGATACATCTAGGAGTAAAAAAAGGTCCTTATTAAAAATTGGGTTGCCACATCAAAATCCAAGATGGCTACCACCATCAGTTTACAATATATATGTAAACTGAATGCCCCAATCATTTGAAGTAAGTACAGATTCTAGTTTTTATACTTGTTAAAAGTGTAGTTCCCTCAAATGATTGGGGTGGTATTGGGGTAACCAAAGCTTAATCTGTAATGGCCAAGGCCACCATTGGCCACCCCCTGGCTCCACCACCGTACCTGGTGGTGGATAAAATTGCTCCCTCCACTCGCCAAGCTCTGTTACTCTGCACTGTCTCATAAAAGCAAAAACCTACCTCTCTCATAAACTGTGTAACTTCATACCCAATTGAATATTTTGCACTAAAACATCTTATAAAATCTAAAAACAATCACTAGTCAAATCCCTTGGCAGCTGGGGACATCGGTGTACTTGTATTGTTTTTATTGACTTAAAATATGTTATCTCCTGTAGAAATTATACTTCTTTTCTTGTTGGTCCAAGATGTTTTTCTCCTTATGAGAAGAGTGTTGTCATTTCAGACTTTAATGTGCCAGGATGCAAAACTGTATCCTGCAAGTGATGCTCCATTTATACGTTAGTGGTCTCCGTCAGCCTGGCCTTCACAAGAAGAGTTTTGGTTACTCCTCTGTTTAAAGTCAGGTTTTCTTATTTGATGTAAATGGCTTCTTTTACCGTCTCACATCAGGAAGCCAACTTTAAACAGTGGAGTTTATTAAACTCAATATGAAGAACAGGCTGACACTAATCCACTAATACTAATACAGACCACTAATGACCTTCAGGAGGGCGGGGAGTGGGATCCATCTGCAGTGTCCTCATGTTGAGGGGGTTTAATGTGAGGCAGCAGTTGGAGGGTTTGCTCTGGTTTGAGGGAAATGGTGAAACATCATTAGTTGTATTGTGGCACAGCTTCCACGAGCCTCGTGTTTTACAACTCAACGCTGTATTTATCAAAATAACGCGACTATCATTTAGGTGAAGGAGGAGTGTCGTATGTTGAACGCTGCTCCACCGGTCCCTCCTAGAAGTGTGAAGCAGTTGCCATCAGTACCCACCCCGATGAAGCCACAGCAGCAGGACACTCGCGCTCAGAGTCCAACCCTCTCCTATTATTCCTCTGGTCTCCACAACATGTAAGACCATTTTATTTTTCATTTAAGATGCGTCATACAAGGTTACTTCTCAAGCTGATTAAATGTAGTTTATATTTGCAGAGGAGCATGTGAGCCAGAAGAAGGTGACCTACAAGAGCAGTGCCACGCCTGCTACCCCTGTAACTGGGGTAGATCCAACACCGAACCATGGACGGTGTCGCCCTCCGGCAGCCTGCTGCTGGAGGGGATCTCCTCGCGTTTGTCCTGGCCAAATAACTTCAGCGGAGGAGACTCGCGCTGTGCGGAAGAGTTTCAGCCTTCCAGCTCCCGGAGTTACTACAGTTACCCCAGAAAGAGGACCCCGAGAACCTGCACGTCCTGCCTCATTGACTACGACGGGCGAGAGCACGCGGGCTGCCGTGATGGGTTCCAGAAACCGTACGCCAACCAGATCTGCACCAAGTCTTCGAGTTACAACGCTGGGATGTACGGAGTCAAACCGATAGAAGAATCGAACACTAAGCAGAGCCTCTCCTGCCCCGTTTTACCACCGAGAACACCCAAATTCAACGCCATCAAGACATGGGCCGACTTACTGTCGGAGTCTGTACCCGACTCAAAACTGGAAGCTACGACCCCCTCACCAGTTCTACACGATCAGGACACGGATGACCCATTAACTTTTAACTGTCCTTCGTCCCCTCCCTCTGCAGAGTGGCAGCCGCCCTTAAACCTGGCTGGTACTTCCATCGAGGAGGTGTCCAAATCCTTAAAGTTTATCGGCTTGCCAGATGACATTGTTTCCCTGTTCGTGTCCGAGAAGATCGACGGGAATCTACTCCTGCAGCTCACCGACGAGATTCTGTCCGAGGACTTCAGACTAAGCAAGCTGCAGGTGAAGAAGCTGGTGCAGTTCATAAATGGATGGAGACCCAAGATCTAACGGTACAAACACTACATTTTGTTAAGAAGCTGAGAACATCATGCCTTCAGTATGTATGCTATGCACATCAAGCCACAAGGAGCATTTTATTTTGTAACATATGAACGTTTTTGTGTTGATGCGTTACGAGGAAGACGCTACAGCTGCGTAATTAAAGTCTGACCGCTAACTGCTAAAATCAAACCGTATGGCACTTTGATAAAAACGTTGGTTGTTGGTCAACTTTTAGTTCGTTTTAGCCACAACTCTTGAAAATTATTATTAAAATGTAATTCAGCTCAAGAAATCTAAAGAAAAAACGTGGCGGAAGTTAATTTGAGAATATATTTTATGTGTGACTTTTAAGGCCATAATTTCATATAAAAAGGCTAAAAGATATGATCACTAATGAAGCTATTATTGCAAGCTCCGCTAATCTTTGGTTTAAATGTTATGAAAAGAACGTGTTTGTACCAGGGATGCAAAAAGAAAATGTTACTGTTAAGCTAAAGGTAGAATGATTGTGTTCGACTGATAAATTAGGCCCAATATTTTTTTTAAATAATTGGCATCAGTTATGCAAAGCCAATTTACAGGCAGTCCCCAAAGGAAGAATATTGTACCAATGTTTCAAAGAAAAATGCCAGAAAACGAAGAAACCCCAATTCTTATTTTTCAGAGTCAAACACATTTAAGATCCTCAAGCCTTTAATAAACGGCAACACTGGTCAGAACACGTACCGAAACAATAAATCTAAGGCACCAATATTTTATCTATTGTTTCTCACAAACCAGTAGATTACAATATATGTGACAAATAAACTAATATTTTTAAGCTAATACTAAACAAATCTTCTTTATCAGTTGACCATCAGCCACTGAAAAGGGTCTGATCGGTCTACCTCAAGTCTAAAGCCGTGGGTCACAGGGCTGGACACTAGTTGGCGACTCCATATTATGAGAAAATACGCACATTTTCCCTTCTGGTCTCACTCAAATTTGAGTGTTTGCAACCAAGTGAGCCCAGTTTATGAAAATCCCTGCCTATATTTGTGAACATAATTACAAAGCTGTGTTCTAGGAAAAATACTTGTTCTAGTTTTTTTACTTATCGTCACTCACTGATAGGTTTTCCCACCCCCAACGTCGTGGACATGCAGATCAGATCTCCTGTGCAGGTGTCAAAATAAAGCTCCAGCACAAAAACAAAGTTGTTGCACAAATGCGCGACTTAAGCGAGAACGTTGAGAACCCTCTGCAAACAGTGCAAGATGTTCCGGATGGTGAACGCCATTCGCCAACCCAGTTAGATGCTACCCTAACTGGTCAACTTTAAAAATCTAAAACCTGCATCTCACTACACTGTGCCTGTTGGCGGCAAATAGCCAACAGCGTTCCTGAGGGAGTCTCCAGAATGTCTCCAAATGTTTGCGGGGTTTCTCAAACTCCTCGCCTGAGCTGTAAGGCACTTTCAAGAAATTCTCAAACCCTTCTCAGTTTAGTTTCCATTCAGAAGTAACTTTCAGGAACAAAGTCTGTACTGAGACGCCTTCTGACCACCTAGGTGGTCTGATTTCTGAAAGAACAGAAGCGGCTTGACGGGTTAAAGTCAACCCAACGCTGATGTGCCTCTGAGCTGCCAGGCGTGGTAGTAACAGAGCCGTAACAGTCGACGTGTGGAAAGGTAGATGTGATGTGGCGATTACATATGGTCCATGCGACCACCTGACTGTAGGATCTAACGTTCTCCACACCTCATTTATGTTAGCTCATGTGTCTGTGCGACGACTCTGCCTTCATTAGTAATTTATGAACGATCGGAGTAGCCTAAAGTCGGACCAACTTTACAGTTATTTGCTTTTTTGTTTAGAAAGAGACAGAAACGTGAGGCAACTTTGGGAGCGTTTGAAGACGATAATAGACCAAATTGTGACCAAATTCAGACACTTTGCGACTAAAATGACAAGGATATCTTTCAGTTACATACAAATGTGTCATAGGTACAAATTCAGTCTGATCCCAAGTGAAAATTTGTGTATTTTCTCGCAATTTTGTGTTGCCAACAGTCACAGCCTTTTGAAATACAGGCTTAAACAAAACTAATCATTTTAATTTATTCTGTCATTATTTTCCTCTTGGGTAATTCTTTTACACCTATTCTTAAGCTTTTGGTGCTACAACCAGGTATTTTTTTATATTTTTTTTTTTTACAAATCAAGTATAAATAACCTGAGTGGAGCTGTTATGTTGGGTACTATATGAGTATTTAGCAACTTGAACAAAAACAACCTCTGGAAATGTATTTTACTAAAACCCATTGGATATTTCATGAAAGAACAGTAGTTTTTTTTCTGCTTTCAAACTCTGCATCTTTACGTTTTGGATTTATTTTTTTGTCTCAAGCTAAAAAGCTCCTTATGCAAAATCTTGATTTTGTTTGATGTTTTAGACCAAACATTTAGCTTTACTCATAAGTTTCTATCCACTCTTCATGAACATGAATGTCATTAATTTTGCGCTTTTTGTCTGAGCTGTCCTTTTTCCAAGGTGAAATGATTCTACAATATACAACAAATGATTTTTAAAAACAAGAATTGGGTTCACAAGTTTGAGTTTATTGTGGATTTTCTCCAATCCACATAGGCTCAGTTCGTACTCTCTAACCAATATTTGGTTAAATATCCCTCAGCCAGTCTCACCTGGACTATTTTGTCTCCATCAACAAGATCCTGGCTTGATATTTGCCTGCTCTTCTTGGCAGAGCTCAGTTAAACTGGTTGGTTTCCTGAAAACGGACCTGACCAAAGATTTTATGTTGAAGTGGCAGCTTTGAGAAGGCCATTCCAGAAGCTTAATGTTAGCCCCAATTATCCAGTCAGAAACCACTCCTGGTGTGCGTTTGGGGTCCTGGTTGTTCACACGCAAACACAGTTGCCCCAAAAACAACTGTTTTATTTGTTGTTTCTAAAAATATCCTCATCTAAAAAATAAAAAAAAAACCTTTTCATCCACACAATGACCCAGTTAGCTGTAACTATATGTATATATGTAACTACAAAGATACACCAAAAACAGGAAACAAGGCATGTGCTACACCGTGTACGAACAGGATGAAACCGTTGCGTTTTAGTCATCCACATTGCAAGATATTTCCCCACTCTGAAACAAGTTTTCAAAACGTGCCATTCTGAGGCCCATCAAACATCTGTTTCCATGTGGACGTGAGGCTGAAAATGATTAAAAACTTGGACCAAACATCAACCATCTAGCTGTCGATTTAGGCAAAGTTTAAGAACTTGGAGGTAGTCCTCCTCTATTATTCCATTCACTAGTTTGTGCGATCCACCAGTCCTACAGCATGATGCTACCACCACTGTGCTTGATCGTTGTTCCAGGGTTTTTAGGTTCAAGCCACAACTCCAAACGGACTTCTTCTTGTCTTTGATCTGCCTTGAAGTTTGTTGGTTCCTCTCATCCGAGAGTCACAGTTCTTCAAACTTATAAACACAATTCTTGTTTTTAAAAATCACGGATGACGTACGTTGTAAAGTCATTGTAGCCTGGAAAAAGAACGGTCTAAAATAATCCGTAAAAACCCCCAAATTTACATTGACACTATTGCAATAGTAAACTCATGGCAGTGTTTCCCCTACCGTTATATAAGCTGGGTGCCCCACCCCTCCAACAGAACTGAGCACCCCGCCTACCAAACCGAACTAAGCTAGCGGCGCGAAATACCGGTTCTCTAGCTAATAAAGCTAAAGGCAGCGCTCACGTTGTGTCTTCTCTCAAGCTGAACCCCCACACACTCAAAAACTGTATAAACAGCGCACAACTCAAACGTGTCGCGCTAAGCTAGCAGCGTGCAATACAGGCGCTATAGCTAAAAAGCTAAAGGCGACTCTTCTCTCATGTTGAATGCCCCCCCCCCCCCCCACCCCAAAAAAAAAAAAATAAAAATCATGAGCACCCCGCCATGGCAAGTTAACTACTGCATGGTATATAATTCTGTCAATGTGGAGAAAAGTTGCAGAAATAACAAAAATTATTGCCATTTATCTGCGTGAAGAAACTTAAATACAGGTATTCTCTTATTTTGAAAAATCTGAAATTTGCAAGACAGTTTTCTTTATTATTATTATTAATTTTTTAATGTTCTCTGGTTTGTGGAAAGTCCTAACTGGAAAGTCAAAACTTTTATTTTACGTAGATTAAGTTATAATTTTGCGAGGAAAAAAAGGCAAATTTCCCACAAACATTCAGATATTTTTTATTGTCATTCACATCTTAGAGAATATCTACATGTTCATTTTTCATAAACGTTTTTCTTATCGATTTATAGTCAAACCATCTCAATAAATGTCTTCATATCTTTTTTTATTCATATCATGACTTTAATTTGGGATTTGACTTTTTCTTGACCCAAATTCATGTTTTAAATCATGAAAAACAACATTTTTAAGTAAATTTAAGACTCCAACATAAGAGAATACCCAAGTTTATTCACATAAATTTAAGTAATTAAAGTCGAATGGTTTTAACGGTTTTATTATGATTTTTATTTGCAATATGTCATCATTTGGAACGGATCAGAACATCCTACAGAAATACAGTTTATGCATGGCGCACTTTGGCAGATTAGAGTTAAAACACATGCAGTAATGAACGGTAAAAATAAAAACCTTATTAACGTGTCTTCGTTGTGACTAAATGCACTACTTTTTTATTTTAAACTACAGTGGTACGTCTTTTTTTTATTTTATTTGGAGTGTATTACAAAGTGTCCTCTAATTTAAGAAGTCTCTGCGCCTTAACCCAAAGCCCTTAAGATGTTTCACCGTTAAACAAATCTGCTTTTAGAGACTCTAATTCAGAATTTATGCATTATTTAATATGATGCACAATTTTATTCTTGTTTCAACTTCTGTATCTTGTATTTGGACTGCCCTGTTTAATACTTGTCATGGTTTGTTACATCTTCTTGTTTTTTATATGTAATTTGTAAAAAAAAAAAAAGATAATTACTAATGTTGAGATTATTTTTATTGACATTTTTTTTAAACTCTGTTTCAATGAGGTTTTTAATAACGTTTGGTCAAACTGCAAGCCTCAGTCAGTACATGAATACGCTCTTATTTTGCTAACAG